GAACTTGATTATTTAAATTGAGCAAAAAATGCCTACTGTGTGCACTTCTCCTGTTAAATACACAAATGCCTGACTTCTGTGATTGTCAACTGAGAATTTTTCTGATGGATCCTTCCAATAAATCTGCTAACCTTATCTCAATATAAACAAATCTCCACCTATACAGAGAATATTTTTATGGCTCAAAGATTTAATATTAGAACTACAGAGTGGCTTAAAAGTTTGATTCAGGAAGAAAGAGGTTCTGAATTTGAGCTAAAAAAAATTCTTTTAAGCATTAGAGATATAATTATTGCAATTATATGGTACAGTAATTTTTAAATAGTTATAAAATTTTAAATTAAATATAAATCCTTTTAGACATATAGTCATGTATAGTATGGTATACAGTCAAGCTTAGGGCATGTAATTTTGAATAAGGGGAGGCAGGAGGCATTTTTTTCACCATTTCAATGATCAGAATTTGTCACTTCAGATGTCATAATTGACAATATAAACTAATTGGATACAATTTTAAATGATCCTCTTCAATGAATAAATTGACCTCTCCATTTCAGAATTATTGAATTCCCTGTACAGTAACAAGTATTATGCACATACTTCTATGTATATCAATATCAAGGCTCCCTTTACATGAGTCTCCCTATCAATCATAATTAAATACACATATATTGGATTAGATTAGATGTTACATGTACTATTCTATTAATTCAAATTAGTAACACACTTTGAGGTGAAAACTGCAATCCAACCCCCAACCGCAACCCCCTTTTTATACCCCCCCCGCAAACGAAGTTTGGGGGGGTAAGATCACCTTTTTCAGCTGTCCGTCTGTCCGTGTCTGTGCAAACGTGTCCGGTCCATATCTTTTTAAAGGGACATCAGTCTATATCCACACAAAGATTGCCCATGACCTAAGGGTTTGTCATGACCTTGACCCAAGGTCATTTGGGGAAGTTCATGGTCACTGGAAGAAAAAGTTCATACCGTAAATCTGGAAATTTTTACGTCGATTTATTTTTGCGAATTTGGGTCAAAAAGCTGTTGATTAATTTTTACGCTTCAAATTTTTGCGAATTGTCACTGGTGTTAAAAATAAAAATCACTAAAGATTTTCATATCAGGTTATGTTTCAAATAATATGCCTAGTTAGAATACCACCAATATGCTCGCAACGTGGCAAGATATTGCAAAATCGCTCCGAAACAATTTTGATAAAAATACAAAAGGATTTGCACGGAAAATAATTTCTTAATCAATTATAACAAACATTTTAGAGGTTGTGTATGCCTTTCAACCTGAAGTATAATCCAAATGAAGAAAAAATACCGGTATAACTAATTTTCTCAACATTTTCACCTAAAATTTACACGACGCGTTTACATTTGGAACTTTCTAGTAAATGCACTGAAGTTATCGCCCGTGTTGATACAAGATAAAATGACAGTTCTCTCTTTATTGGCAAATTAATTGATGAAAATACCGGTAATTAAAAACGGGAAATCAGTGCTTGTCAAATCATCGGACGATATTGCATATAATGAAGGCAATTTACACGCACGGGTAATTAACTTGTAGTTATATAGTGGACTAGTGTAAACAGGTTTCTTTTAAATATGACCAGTGCTTACCGACGCCTATTCACTGAGTTAAAAAAATGACACGAGTTCTCAGAAAAAAAAAATTCTTCAAATGTTGATTTATTTTTAAGAAAAATATTTTTGCGAATGCAATGTACGCGCAAATTTGCTAAAAATTTATCTACAGTAAAAATTTCCAGATTTACGGTAATTCGTGTCCGGTCCATATCTTTCTTATGGATAAACTTGGTAGGTTCTCATTTCACACAAAGATTGCCCATGACCCAAGGGTGTGTCATGACCTTGACCCATGGTCATTTGGGGAACTTCAAGGTCAGTGGAAGAAAAATTTAATTATTCGTGTCCAGTCCATATCTTCTTATGGATAAACTTGGTAGGTTCTCATTTCACGCAAAGATTGCCCATGGCCTAAGGGTGTGTCATGACCTTGACCCAAGGTCATTTGGGGAACTTCAAGGTCACTGGAAGAAAAAAGTTCATATATAATTTGTGTCCAGTCCATATCTTTCTTATGGATAAATTTGGTAGGTTCTCATTTCACACAAAGATTGCCCTTGACCTTAGGGTGTGTCATGACCTTGACCCAAGGTCATTTGTAGAAGTTCAAGGTCACTGGAAGTAAAATTCATAATTTGTGTCTGGTCCATATCTTTCTTATGGATAAACTTGGTAGGTTCTCATTTCACACAAAGATTGCGCATGACCCAAGGGTGTGTCATGACCTTGACCCAAGGTCATTTGGGGAACTTCAAGGTCACTGGAAGAAAAATTTCATAAATTCATGTGTGATACATATCTTTATTATGGAAAAACTTACCTCTGAAAAACCCAGCGGGGGGTATTTTGTCCCGTTTGGACAGTTCTAGTTTAAGATGCCTTTTCATAGTGGGAATCTTTTAAAGTCAGTTATATTTTAAAGTAGTATTACCTACAGAAGAAATCAATTTGGTAAAATCTCTTGACACGTTGTTGACGAGTAGCAACTTTTTTATGAACATACAGAGCCCCTTGTAATTAAAACGGGATCTCTATTTTAAAAAGTACAATTGCTACAAATTTTATGGGACATTGTTGAAAGAAGTAATGTTTACTAGGAAGGTACAAGAAGTTCAGGGTGTTTTCAGATAGCTGTAATTGTTTTGAGGCCACCCTGTATTAAAAAGATTGTGGGTGGGTGTATGCTCCATGTGCTGACTATCATTTTACAGAGTGATTGGGGTATTGGAAAAATTCTCTTCATGTGCGGGTGGGTCTCCTAGGAAGTGTGCAGGAGTTTTTCAAACATAAGCAAAATTTAAAGTGCATATAAATGTATGTGTGGCTGTATTTGTGACATTGTAGTCTTTGGCGGAGTATTCACTGGAATTCGGAAAGTTGTTATTTTAGTGTTGTGAATTCATTTAGTTTGGCCTTGGATTTATAATTTCTATAAGCTTAGTTTTACATTTTATTAAGATTTGCATCTTCATGAATTTGATTTGTTTGTATAAAGTTTTATTATATGAATTGTTGGTTTATTAATGGGAACATTTATATTGATGTATCCTCACACACAAAAATAAATTTGATTTGTGTAAACAAACTAAAGAAAAAAGCAACAATGAAAAACCCCAGAGAGTTTCACCACCTTTGATGTGGCTTAATTATGACAAATGGTTTAATACCTATGGTTTTGATTGAAGAAATTTGAATATTTTAAGTATTTACTTTGTGACATAAATTGACAAGTGTAAAATTTACACACTTATCTCTTATTCATTGAAGTAGTAAGTGAACCGTATAAGATTGTGTGTAGAACAAAAACCACCGGTTTCCTGCATTTTTATCAATGATCTTTGAACAAACTGCAAGTTATTGGAGAGGCTACAAATTAAATCACACATGGATAATCCATTTCCTTATCTGTGCATATTTTTCAAACTCTTCCTCTTCTGCCTATAATTGCTCAGAAGATGGATTAAAAACCGACTTGCATCTTGAGGCATGAATTGATTTCTGGTGCATCAAAAAAAAAATTATTGGCAACGGTTGTTCCCGCGAGGTGTCTCTTGATGTGTTAGTGTAATGATAGATGGAGCTAAATGTTACGTATGTTCATCGACTGGGTAAAATGCTAGTGTGTCCCCGGTACTATGGATGTTGTCTATGCCAGGCCCGCAGACAGCCGCAGAAACTGTACATATTTCCTTCGGGGCTGGAGTATAATAATGTCCAATGTAAGTAGCTAGTTCAAATGTGTCATGGTGAATTGACATTAAATTTGAGTGACTGTCAATGAATTTTAGGCATAATTGAGTGGATCTTTTTTTTTTTGGAGGTGAGAAATATTTTGCTCTTTTCATTTGGATCTTGTTTTTTGTCAGATGGTTAGAATTTCTTGAAATTTTTGAGAGATAACATGTCATTAATTAATGCTGAAAATTGTACACTTTACCATTCATGATTTATTCTCTTTTTTTTTAAAGAGAGGGATGACAAATGTCTTGATCAATCATCTGTTTTTATTTATAATCTAGGTGATATATTCACAATCCTTGCTTCTTAATGGCTTTACTTATATTTTGTCCTTCTGGGGATATAATATAAAGGATTCCATCATGTTCATATTTAAATATATTTAATGAAAAGTTAGTTAATTTAATTAACGCAGGTGTGCAGTCTTTTGAAAAAAGAAGATACTGAAAAATAACAATTTAGTGCACTCTTATGAGATGATTATATTGTATAATACAAGGTCATTGGCTTCTTGGTTTCAAGACTGTTCTAAAGAGACCTTAAGCTAGTGCAGTGAATTGTCGATAATTGCTAAACACAGTATCCTGCTGCTGCACAACCGTCTAGACAAATCAGATGCATCTCTGGAAAATCCTGTAATTGTGATGGGACGGAATGTATTGGTCTTTTGTTATATATGAAATTGTGAATAATAGAGAGGCCTGGGGATATTCTCTCTTGGCATTTTCAGTCAGAATACTGGAAAGTAAAAATGAATGGTTTTCAAAAGATGACTATTTTAATTTTGTTCTTTCTTGCTTTTTATTTGGCTTTTGTACTTTTATATACATATGTCTTGGTGATCTTGCATTTGTCTCAGAAAATTGAAACATAAGGAGAATGATAGTCTTTCCACAAAAGTTTATTGCTCAGTTTGAGATTGAGCCTGCTAGAATTGTTAAACTTTCACTTTGACCTCGAAGCCCAGATTAAAGTAACAGGTTTTGTGTTAAAAATAAAAACACCCCAACATATTATTATGTAATTGTGATTCCACGATGAGAATCACAACAGACTTTAAATGTCATGACTCAGGCTCAGAATGTCATTTCTATTCATATGAAAATGACCATGAGTATTTGATACATATATATCCAATTTGTAAAATTAATTTTTTTTTTTCAGATAACAAAGAGAACATTTCTATTGTGGAATACAAGACTCTACAGAAACAGTTGGATGAGAGGAACGCTGAGAGAGATGAACTCTTGTTCACCATTAGAGTAAGGGGAATGTTATAGAAGACTTATCCATGCATGATTCTATTAACTTTTTGTCCATTTTGAATGGAATCAAGTTAATGGAGTGTGCCTTAGAATTTTACAAAGCACTCATCATTGTCATAGTACTATTAATGTATTAGCAATTAATGTCCAAGGTCATTTTCTCAAGGCTGCAAGTTCAGAGAATCAGAACTAGTTGTACCCAGTATTACTGGGATAGGACTGAGGGTCTAATGCTATAATGTTCTTGTTGGTCACAGGTATTGTCATACCTCATGAAGAAATACACATAAAACATTTCAAGAATGGCAGGAAATCTTTATAAAATTAAGTAGGTAATCAGGAGTAAACTGTAGAATATGTTCTACAGTAGATAGACTATATGAAGAATATTGAATAATATATGAAGAAATTCACAATCTTTGTAATGATAGCATTTTTTTTTTTTTTAAAGTTTTAAATTCAAATACCATATAAGGAGTTTAGACTGATTTTTGCTAATGAATTAAGAAAAAAGGTTGTAGATGTTTTATGCCTTTTGTTCAGCCTCATTTGTAACCCTTTTTTTGGTAGAATTTGTCAGAGAAGAATAAAAAGTACAAAAATAAACTGGAAAAAGAGGAGATGACAAAGAGACAGCAGATGAGGATTCTGTGTAAGACCCAGGAGATAAATCTAATGGAGAAAGACAAGCTAATCGGTAATCTACAGAGTCTGGTGGAAGACCAGGAAAACCGGATCTTGGAACTGGAGCAGTCCATCAATGGTAGGTACAACTGGTTCATACACAGAGTGGTTCATACACAGACTGGTTCATGACCACATACAGCTGGTTCATGCACTGACTGGCTCATGACCACATACAGCTGGTTCATGCACTGACTGGCTCATGACAACATACAGCTGGTTCATGCACTGACTGGCTCATGACAACATACAGCTGGTTCATGCACTGACTGGCTCATGACAACATACAGCTGGTTCATGCACTGATTGGTTCATGACAACATACAGCTGGTTCATGCACAAACTGGTTCATGACCACATACAGCTGGTTCATGCACTGACTGGTTCATGATTACACACAGCTGGTTCATACACAGACTGGTTCATGACTACACACAACTAGTTCATGCACAGACTGGTTCATGACCACACACAGCTGGTTCATACACAGACAGGTTCATGACCACACACAACTGGTTCATACACAGACTGGTTCATGACAACACACATCTAGTTCATGAACAGAGTGGATTATGACCACACACAGCTGGTTCATACACAGACTGGTTTCATACACAGTTCATATTTCTTGACATGTCCAAATTCCAAATATTTTAGACCTACAAATTCTCCCCTTTCCTCCTGCACACAAATATCTGTCTAGGTAGATTTTTTTATGACCAACAACAGTTAGGCCATAAAAAATTAATTTTTGGTTTGCAGGCCCTCCTTCATCTCTTCCAAGGGTGCCTCATTGACCCTTTTTATTGCTAAATCTATAAAATATAAACAACAAATCACCTCCCTCATCATTTTGTGAGGTCTTGTACAATGTAAAAAGATGCCTCATCATGTTTTGGGGGCAATAAAAAAGTTTGTAAAAAATGCCTCTCTCCCTCATCATATTTCTTGAAGAAAGGCCTGAGAACCAAGGAATTAAATTTGCATGGCCTTAGATATTATCCAGTAAGCATTTCAATATTTATTTATTTAAAATGACAAAGTGTGAAATGAGAGTGTGAAAGAAGAAGCATTTATTAGATGATCTAAGAATAACCTACGTCATATACATTATGTACTTTACACCTACTTGAACATTCGTGCACAGAAAGGTCAATACACACCTTTAAATACTGGGATTAATGGCAGATAGGAATTTGGAACAATTTGTTAATAGAAGAAATCCTGTTATTGTCATGTAGATGCATGAGGATGAATTTATGTTATTAATTGCAGGGAACACGAATCCGAAACTCCCCGGACATGCTAATGGCGGTGCTAATAATAAACTGGTGGAAGACATTAAGAGGCTCCATGAGGAGAAGGTCAATCTCACAAAGAGGCTGGAGATGGTCCAATCAGAGATGGAGACACACTCCTGTACAAACGGAGTCAGTGACGACTCCAACAAAGAGATCATAGCTCAGCTGGAGAAGGAGAAAAAGGAGCTACAAGACGAGCTCAGCAAATACAGCAAAAATAACATGGTAAATTAATAAAGATAGAGATGGGGAATTTTTTTTCTTTGAAATAATCCTGATCAAGAAATGAATCTGATAATTAAGGCAGAATTTAAAAAGCACACACATTTAAAAAAAAAAAATAAATATTTTCATTCAACAAAAGTAAAACCTAATGGACAGACAAGCCAGAACAGACATGAAGTGACATTATGTCATAAATCAATGCACCCCCAACCAATAAGACAATGAGAAGCGAGGCACCACAATACTCTTAACTTTCTCGTTATTTTAATTTTCTGTAAATTTCTTACACAGCAGCCTTCAGACACAGGGCCCTGTCACACAGATACAGAGAAACAGGTGGAGAAGCTGCTGTCTAATAACAAGGAACTAGAAGAGGAAGTCCAGGAACTGAGGCAGTCCCAGGCCAGGTCCACTTCATTGTTTGAGGAGGGGGTCAAAAAACAAAAGGTCAGTCATAAACAAAGGTTCATCTTCCTAAACATAGGATTGGAAGAAATTTATGAAAAAGGTTAAGTAAATTACATTAATTGTCTTCTGTTAATCAACGGAAAAATACAATATTAAACCAAGAATTTAAATTATGGAAGTCAGATGGGTTAATCGTTAGTAGCTAGATAGTACAGTTGGTAGAGCACTTGACTGGAAATTCAGGGGGCCTGGGTTTGAATTCCAATCTGGTCTGCACCTTTCTCCTTTCTGTTTATACAAAATCATTCTTATTTTTATATAGAATGACTTTTTATGATTTGATGATGTTGTTAGTCTGCAATAAATATGTTAATTATTAGGATCTGGAAGATGAATTAAAGAAGTACAGAGAAAAGTTTACCAGACTGAAGGAGAGCTTACAGAAGAAATCAGAAGAGCTAAAGGAGAATGAAACAAAACATCGAGAGCAGGTGACCAAACTGTCAGAGGAGAACCGGGTGACCTCCAAGAGAATGAGGGACCTCATGGTGGAGGTGACCCATCTACAGGCCAGGGAACCTGAGGTAAGAGTGAGGTGTCTGGGGTGTGAAAAATTGTCAGAACCAAAGGTGAACTCAGTAAAAGAGAACCTTCTGGTGCAGGCATGACATAAAACATTCTTAGGATATAAATACTTGAAGTCCCTTGTAAGATACATATACCAGGAATTCATTAAATTTTTACTGGCAGGAATTTATTTTCAATTAACAGTCAAAGATTTTTGGTGTGATATGACATTCCTATCGGCATACTTTTAATACACAGAAAATTTTTTATGGTTTTGTGAGATCTTGTCCATGTAACATGAATATAGTGTATATTTAAAGTTTTAAATATGTCTTGACAGGTTGTCACCAAAATCAAAGTACAGGAAGTGGAGGTGGATTCCCAGAAGACACTGGAGGCCCTTAAATCCTGTGAGGCTGAGAGAGACAGCTACCGGTGTAAGATGGAGGAGAGCCAGTCCCAGCACTCACATGTGGTCAGTCTGCTGGAGAAGGAACAGCAACTCACAGAGACACTTTCAGAGGAGGTAGGGCAGGTTCTGTTGTGTTTTTGGAGAGAGTTCTTTGTGTTTTAAAATTCATTAGAAGTGAAAGATAAAGTTTTCTGTATACATGAACACCCCCCCCCCAAAAAAAAAAAAAAAAACAGGACAGTGTATTTAGTTTGAAATTAAATTTCATTTTGACTTGGTATTAAGTGTTACTATTTTTAAATTTGTACTTTCATAATTCAAGTTTCGTAGTTTTAAAAGAGAAATTTGTCAGTGTTTTCAAGATATATTTCCTAAATATAGGGCAATAAATAGATTAATGAAAATTAATATGGAATTTGGTGATTTTTATATTTTTACCATGAGCAGTTGGTATTTTTGGTTGTGATTTTGTTTTAGGTCAATAAACAGAAGGAGAAATTGATCAGTCTTGTCCAGGATACAGCAGACAAATTAGAGGAAGCAGAGAGAGCAAAAGAGGCAGCCATTCAGAGCACTAAAAAGCAAATGGAGAGAAATCTCAAGCATTTGGAGGTAGATATGCTAAAGCACTAATGCACTGTTAAGTTAGCCCTTTTTGGGGTGCTATGTCATCCTTATTTATAACTTGCTAGGAAAATTATGATCCAGCTATATTCATGTATACTAACAACACAATATTAAGTTTGGTGATAATTGTATGTTGTATAATGTGTTATCTACATAGCTTTGACATGCTGTTGTCATGCTGACAGTGCCAAACCCATTTGCTTGCAGTCCTAGCGATTCATTACCTTTGCTTATACAAGCGGCTTACTATAAATATATTTTATATAAATATATCATAATTTTATTTCAATAGAATTGAGCAACACAACAAAGATTTAAACAGAATAAAGCATAATGACATGCATATAAAAACTCAAAAAAGTGATTCTTTTCATGATCACATCTTAAATCCCATGGACAGATCACAAATTTTTTGTCTAAAAGTGATGACATTGGGCTTATAAACATGATAAAAATAAAAACTGGCAGAAGAAGTTTGCGCTTAATTACTTTGTGTGCATGAAAAGCCCAGCGAGTGCATTTGCGCTAAAACATGCTTTGGTGTTTTATTGTAAATATAAAGTATGTTTAGAATTTAAAGTCAATTTACTTTTTACAACTTGAAGATTTATTGATGTCTCTAAGGATAATTCTGAATTTCTTCACGATAGATTATCTTTTGGAGACTGATTTTTGACACTTTTTTTCACCTTACTTTAGTTGGCTAACTTTTGTAATGGTATATCCTCATTTTGGATGAAAAATGCTCAGCAATGGCAGGTTTGAAAATAAATGTCACTTATCCAAAAATATCCCCCCAACATAACTTTTACTAAAACTTTATTCATCCAATGAAGTAAAATAGTTACATATAGCCAAAATTTGTTGTGCAAATATTAAAATTCAAACCTCTAAATATTATGTGTATTCATTTATCATGGTATTTTGATAATATTTGTCAATTTATTAATGAATTTCTATAAACTAAAAATCTACCATCACAACCTGAAAAGTGATCTGCATAAAGCACTACTAGTATCATAATGAGAAGACCTCAGCTAAAACACATTAAAATGACAATTTAAATTCCTTTTCTAATTTGTAAACAACTAGAAAACTCTTAATCAATAAGACAGTGGTATTCAGATAACCTAGACAAAATTCTCTGACATTTGTTTGATATTTAAGAAGATATTAAAAATGATTTTTATCACATAAATGTAATGAAAAGTTTTTTTCTTATATGACATTTTAACAAAATATATAAATGATTTTGATTAAAAAAATAAAAATATTTGCATTTGAAGTGAATATGGAATGTGTTTTTGCATTAAATATCTGTGTAGAATTGAAATTCATTGTGTCAACTATGCAATCTAATATTTTTTACATTCCTGAAATCAAAGAATAGAATATTTGTTCTCGTCTCATTGTTTGGTACACTTTCAACCTTGAAGGGAACCTTTGCATTAGATAAGATATTGATTTCAAACTCATGGTCAAGATTAAAAGGTCAAATCAGGTCAAGGTAGTACAATCAGTCCAGGTCAGAGGTCAAATATGTCTTTAAAAAATAGGACTAAGTCATGGTTAAAAACCTTTGTAAGAACAACTTGATTTTAACAAAAATGTTTGAAGTAACTTTTTATCTGTATGAATGCATATTGCACTACACATTCTTGATTTGCTAGGCTAAGTACAGACAGTTGTGTGAGCAGGCCTCCTTTGTCCTACCAGCCTACCAGGCCCTGGAGAAATCCTACACTCATCTGGAGGCAGAGTGTAGGCAGTTCCCTCAGTTACTGCAGGCAGCCATTACTGATGTCAAAAATCAGGTACAGTAGTAAGGCAGTGTAGATACTACTATAAGACTTTTGCCCATAGAAGTGATACTTCAAATAATAAAGCCTATTGGTTTTGTATTGGTGGATACCTATAGATCTATAAGAACACTCTAACAGCTGTTTTTATATTCATTCTGAAGCTCTCCTCTGTGACGAAGTAAAAGTCGATGCTTAAAATTTGTACTGTTAAACTCTTTGGACTAATTTTAGGTTCCTTGAAATTCCACCATGATTTCAAACGTAATTTTATAAACTAAGGAGGAAAAATTTTTCTTAAGATTCCAATTTATTAATGAATATGTTTTATTTGTAGATGTGTCATGCAATAAGAAACATTGATGACTACAATAAAGACTTGGTACGTCGATATCACCGAGAGATGCAGCTCAGGAAAAAATATCACAATGAACTGGTGGAACTAAAAGGTATCCTTTGTTACGTCAGTACTGTGGACTCAAGAGTAAAGTTACAATGTTCTGATCTTTTTTGAGAAGTAAAAAGCTTTGTACCCGTACAACATTGAGAAATTTTTTATCACAGTCACAGACAAATAAAAATTGTGTCAGAAATTAAGAATACCGTATTTGGCTGAATATACTGTATACAGGTTATTTTCACCCTTTCACTCTTGAAAACAATTTTGTCCCGTTTTAAATTGGCCCATTCATAGTTTTGTTGAAGAAATTATACTGCATTCTTTGAGTTCGCCCCGTTTTAAATTCACCCTAAGAAGGATAGGGCGAAAATAAAACGGGGTCGAAAATTTCCCTGTCTACAGTGATAGACACTTTTTTTGTAGAATATTTTTTCCACTAATATTCAAACTCAAAAAGGGGGCTTCATATTTTACACTAATGCATATAGGTTTTCTTGCTAAAGGGCATGCACTTAATGCATATTATGCTTCTTTATTTTTAGGCAACATCAGAGTGTTTTGTCGAGTGCGTCCCAGAATAAAAGAAGATGGTGGAGGCATGATGGGAAATATTGTGGTGGATTACGACAGAGACGACAATGGGCTCATCTATGTGAACAATAAGGGGAGATCACAGAACTTTGAGCTCGACCTAGTGTTCACTCCGGAGAGCACACAAGAACAGGTAGGGATTAATGTTTATTGTTGGTTATGAAAGTTAGAGTTGACTCATGAACTCTCTGCATAAAATCATGAAGATTTTGCTTTGTACTTTTGTGTCTTTTCAGTAGATAATTATTTTTTATATTTTCCTGGAATTTTGAATCATGAAAACTTGTACAGTCAAATTTCGTTATCTCAAACCTGATGGGAGTGAGAAAAAACTTTGAGATATCGAAGGTTAAATACTTAAAGAATATGTTGTTGGACTTCCAAAACACTTACAAGATATAGAAGTTTGAGATACTGAAGTTCAACTGTATTTATTCAAATGTCAGGTAATATTTAATTGTTCAAACTTCAGGTGTTTGAGGAGGTTCAGTCGCTGGTGACCTCCTGTATAGATGGATACAATGTCTGTATCTTTGCCTACGGACAGACGGGCTCAGGAAAGACCTTCACAATGGAGGTAAGTGTAGACGAGCTTTCTACAACTCAAAAAATGAAAAAATATCAGTCATTGTTTCTATCTAACGTCTAAATTATTGAATTTATAATTTCTGTAAAAGCATCTACAAAAGTCTTGAGATTATTAAACATTATCTGTGTTATTTTCAGGGAAACAGAGAAAATCCTGGCATCAATCAGCGAGCCCTGGCCCTGCTGTTTAAGGAGATAGAGGCCCGGGGCCAGGACTGGGGGTACACCATTACAGTCAATGTGATGGAGATCTACAACGAAAAGATTAGGTACGGTCAGGGAATCTCTAAAAGTGTGCTCATTGTACATGGATACAGCACTGAACTCTCAAACCTTATTATACCCCCCGCAAACGAAGTTTAGGGGGGGTATATTGGAATCACCATGTCCGTCTGTCCGTCTGTCTGTCTGTCCGTCTGTCTGTAGACGAGATTTTGTCCGGACCATTACTCAGAAACTATTTGAAGGATTTGTCTGAAAATTTGTACACATATTATTCACCATATGAAGTTGTGCACCTGATATTTTTAATTTTGATTGGATTATTATTTTGAATTTTACAGGTGTTTTTTCATTTTTATTTTGTGGTTTTGTCTGGACCGTTTCTCAAAAACTATTGCAAGGATTAATCTGAAAATTTGTACACTTATCATTCACCATATGAAGTTGTGCACCTGGAATTTTCAACTCTTTTTGTTCATTTTTCTGCATTTTACAGGTTTTAAAAAAATTTTATTTGACTTGTTCATTTTGGGCTCATGTATAAGGTTTGAGACATAGAATCTAGAATATCTGTACAAAAACGTGAACTACAGCTTAAAACTACTCATAAAAACTTTAAAAAAGAAACATCATCAAGTGTTAAAAACAGTTTTTACATTGCACAGAAGCTAATGTAATTTCATTTGTCTCTTGGGAATAATGACTGGACATGCATCCAGTTAAAGATAAATTAATGAGTTTGGTGTTGGAAGTCTCTTATCAAGCGTGTGTGTGTTATCAAATCTCCAGGGAATAAGGCACAAGAATTAAAGATCTCTCTTCTCTTATTCTCTTAATTGTAATTTATTGTCTGTCAAAACACTTCATTACTGGATGAGCAGCTCTTTATTTTCAAAATGCATTTCAAATTGATATATCAAGATTAATTTGATTTTGTATAATGGTTTTTTTTCAACAATCTGTTTGCAGAGTGACATAACACATAATTGCAATAATTTTTTTTAATGCAGTAATAAAAAAAAATTAAATGAAAAGATTAAAAAAAAATGTTACAATGGAATTACAATGTATTATTATTGATGTTTCATTTGGTTGCACCTCCGTTTCATTCATTAAGAAACATGATGAGCAATTATATTTCACTGCAAATTTTTGTATTACTAAGTAAATTGTGAACATGTCTAGATCCATAAAGTATTTTTGAATTGGCACCTTCTCTGAAAAACCCAGCGGGGGGTATTTGTCCCTATTGGACAGTTCTAGTTGCTTTAAACTTGATGGGATCAACAGACTGAGGTATCTGTGGATTTGAGATGTCAAGATTTCCAATTCACTTTAACATTCATGTATCTATGGTATTCCAGATATTGGTATGAATTGAATGTTTTGAATTGCATCATTGGCAATATTTTTTTTATCTGGATATCAGTAAAAGGGTTTTTAATGTATCTGGGATATTTTAGGGATCTGTTGAGTGATGACCCATCTTATAAGATGGAGGTAAAGATGAACCCAGAGGGAGGACTACATGTACCAGGTCTGTGTTCAGAGGAGGTCAGATCAGTAGACGATGTCAATCAGGTAAGGCTTGTGTATAAGACAGCAGTAACTGTAAAGTTTATAGAATAACAATAGAACTAGTTGATATTTTCTATGCTTGAACTTTTGTTCATTTTCCCTGAAACTTCTACATTTTTTCAGTGCTGACTTTTTCACCCTAAAAATACAAAAGTTAAATACTGTAAAATCACATTTTCGAGGGGTCAAATTTTCGTGGTTTGAGGAAAATATACTGGTTTGCAGGTGTTTGCTCTCGGCCAGAAGAATCGAGCTACAGCCACAACCAACATGAACGAGCATTCCTCTCGATCTCATGCTCTACTGACGGTACAAGTTGTTGGTGTTAACAAAACCACTAATGTCAAAACTGTGGGTAAGTATTCACTTTTGTTCATTTTCCCTGAAACTTCTACATTTTTTCAGTGCTGACTTTTTCACCCTAAAAATACAAAAGTTAAATACTGTAAAATCACATTTTCGAGGGGTCAAATTTTCGTGGTTTGAGGAAAATATACTGGTTCATGGGGATTTGATTTCGTGGTTGAAGAATTGTTATGTAGTAATTTGTGTGAAAAACTGCATTTCGTGGTGGACATAAATTCGTGGGTCTCATCATACCTTGAAAACAATGAAAATTAAACTCCCATGAAAATTAGTGATTTCACAGTATGTTCTGTTGGTATTTTATTGATATTCAAAAAAGTATTATTCACTGAGCATCACATTTGGTGGTATTGCAGGTAAATTGAACTTGGTAGACTTGGCGGGCTCTGAGCGGGTCAGTAAATCAGGAGCTGATGGAACTCGACTTAAAGAGGCTCAGAACATCAATAAGTCACTCTCCTGTCTAGGGGATGTGATCCACGCTCTCCGCAGTAAACAAAGCCACGTGCCATACAGGAACTCCAAACTCACCTACCTCCTGCAAGACTCCCTGGGTAAGTTTGAATTTTAGGATATTTTATGTGAAAGCGGATAGTGCGTCTCTTTGCTTTGCCTTAGTTCTGTTGCTGTAAAGATCAACAATTTTGAGTCCTTCAAGATTGCAGCTCTGTACAAAAGGAATCTGTTGAATTGTATCTAAAATATCATTGTAATATTTGTCAAAAATACTCAGAAATGAACTAGATTTTTGAAAATTCATGAGGACGTATGTAATGAAATGCATTAGTGCTTCATGATTCAAGTATCAGTGTGCAATTTATGAAGAATCCAAGGGAAGCTACTGGAAATGTAAATACATATAATTTCACCAAGATTTCAAATTCTGTTGTTTTAATTTCCAGGTGGAGATAGTAAGACCTTGATGATTGTACAGATTGCTCCAGTAGAGAAGAACTTGGGTGAATCAGTGTGCAGTTTGAACTTCGCTCAGCGAGTTCGAACTGTCGAGCTGGGTCAGGCGAGCAGACAAGTGGTTCAAGCTGTTGGAGATGAGGTATGCTCACATAAAAAGAGCTTGCACATAATACTATGCTCTGTCTTCATTCTCCTTGAGCTGCTGATCTAGACAAAAGGAATCACTGGCAAATGCTACAGAGAGCTTTATGGGTATAATATCCAGTTCTTGGTGCTGGGGGATGGTTTAAAATGCATGAGAATTTTTCAAAGAATGCTAGATACTGTAACATTTTCATATCTTTCCCTAAAATTTTAACATGTCTGAAGACTTGTTTGTAAAGTACTTCCACTGCAAACACTTTTTCCATTCTCTCACATTCATTAACTGGGTTCCTCATCAGGTTATATCATCATTGCAAAATATGACAATTATTTATTGATGAAATGGTTGAAAGTTTTGTAACTTTGATCATCTATTAATTTTGTTTGTGCTTGCATGTGTGAATTAAACTATCTTATGTTCTATACTTACTTGGGTTAAAATCCATCACTTTGCACCTGTGCTACTTTATTTCAGAATTTACGTAGTAAAGGATATAAAAACAGCCCGTAATGGTGAGAACTTCAATCAAGTGTTGCATGTTGTTGATCTCTCTATTTTGCAAATTCTTTTTGCTTTCTTTATCTTGCTCCGGTTAGCATGTGAATAGCTGCTTAGAATAAAATAAATTCGAGTTTCAATTTGAATCATATTTGTTTATTGTAGAATATCCTTAATTTTGTAGCTTTAGCTAGAGCTAATATGTAAAATTGACTCTGCAAGTCCTAAGAAAGAAATATTGTTTGATCCTAACAGGTTAATAAAAATTTCGAAAAATCCTACTTAACTTTGAATTTAAAAATTACTTTTTATCCTCTAAAATAGCATCAAAAAAGTGACCTTATGTCCTACACATGCATAACCTTTTACGTTTAACGGAAAAGAGTTATAAATGTGCAGTTTCTAGGCTTTAGAGCACAAAAAATATTTTTTGGTTCGCATGAAGGGTCAGTTTGGATATGGTATAAAACAAAAATATTTTTTTCTTAGCCCTGAGCTTTGAGTTCTTTATTTCAATAAAGCTACCCAGTAATTTTTTACTTCTTTATATTCAAAATCTCTTTTAGAACAAAAAAAATCAAGTTTTAACTGAAAAAAAATTGTAACTGTATCTCACTCAAGTTATTTGCAGCAAATGAACAGATTTGTGTGTTAGAAGTGGACACAATGGACACTTATTTTTGATTTGATTTTAAACCATGCCATTTGAAAATTCACAAATAAATTATTTTATGCATTATATCTTGTATTTGCTGTTCATTTTAAAATTTGTGCATCATGGTTATAGACACCTCACCTTTAAGCAAATTGAAATTAACTTTTTAAGAATAATACAAATGTATGTATTATATGGCTGTATGAAAATAGTAAAAAAAACATTGTGAATGTCAGTAATATTTTTGTTCTGTTCAGCAGGCTAATGGAGTATCACCAAGTACCCCCAGCAAAACAACCTCCACCCCCAGCAAAGCCCCGTCCACCCCCACCAGAACCATGAGTCTGAACACACCTACTGGTCGACAACATACCCCAGTCATAATGAACAGGACACCCAGCAGCTCCACTAAAGGATCATCACTCCGCTATCCTAAAAGACCGGATAAATGAACAGTCATACCTTTACCAAGCAGGTCTACCAAAGGGACTTCACTCCGCTATCCTAAAAGACCAGATACCAAGTAGTCCCATTAAAGGAACTTCAATCTGCTATCCAAAATGACCAGATAAACGAATGTTCTCAAAGATGGCCAAAATGACTGTGTTAGTAGCAAAGTGGTATTAAAGAGACTTTGCTTAAAAAGATTCTAAATCTTATTTGTTCATTTAGCTTTAATTGCCCTACTCTTTGATGAACCATTGAGGTTAACAGTGCTTAGGAAATTCATAGCTGTTGGGGTTATGTCCCTTTTTCCATGTGTTGACGTATGTGATGCCAGATCTTTCTTGCAATTTATTTTAACCTTGGTGATATTTTCTAGTGCTTCTGCTATTATTTCCTATTTTTGTTTTTAATGGCCCCCAACTTACCCCCAATTTTCAGTGATATATTTTTATTCAAAGGAAAGTGTTTAGTCTGTTATTACTGTCACATTTTCTGTATGTTTGAAGACTCTCATTGCTGGGCATTATTCATTGCCTTTGCAGGTAGATTTGGCAATAAGTTCATTAACAAGGTATAATATTTTTTTGGGGGGGGTGGGGTGGGGTGGGATAATTGATTTGAATTTTGCATGTGTATGTTTTTTAAGTTGTATATACAGGTACAATTACTAGTAGTTAGTTTGTAACATCATTATTGAATGTGTAATGATTTGACCTTCATATTAATATGTGTCCTGTTTTTATATGATGCATTTAGGAGTGTGCAATAAGTTTCTATCTTCTTTTCAATGTATTAATAAGGAAAGTTTTGTAAAAGCAATATGTTATTATCATCAACATTTATTGAGAGAGTTATGGTACTTTGTTTATAATGTACATTGTGTCATCTACCCTTCAAGTCATAAAACCATCTTCCATATAATTTAAGTATAAATTTGAGTATTTTTTCAAAAAACTTTGTAATTTAGTATCAATATGTTTTCTTTGATTATAATTTTTTTTAAAAAAATGCACAGGTAATCCAAAGTTTAAATGTTTCATTATGCACTGTGTTTGTCAGTACATTTCATGGAATCAGTAGAGATTTGAAGGTTCAACATATGTTACCTTTAAATGCTTACTAGAATAGGAAAATCCAGATCCCCTCTTTATGCACAGATTGTTGAATAGCATTATGTATAATGATGTGCGTTGTTGTTCATTTCAATTACATGAATTTATTTATGAGTTTGAGTCTTATCTTAATTTCAGAAATATCTTAAAATTTTTCATAGACCCTGTATGTTCAGTGTATTGCATTTTGACTATGTTGTATACAGTGGGTTTTTTTTTTTCTAGTCCTATAACTTGTTTTCCTTATTTTGCTGTAGCTCTTGTGTTTGGAAAGTGCCTTCTTAATTGTTGATGAAAATAATTATCATTCATACTGATTCAAATATATCATGATATAATGCAATAATACATCCCATTTGTGATATGTTAATATTGGAATTTCAAGTGATGCTGTGACTATGTGTGATATATACTTTTTTTGTCTTGTTATGTCAATAACATTGCTACTTTATAACTTACAGAACAAGTACATCATCTTAAGGTTCATAACATTATGTAATTAGGCTACAAGGTACTTTCCTTTTAAATAATTCCCTCATATTCATTTTTTTTTTGTAAATCTTATAAGCAAAATTAAATTTTAACACATTGCTAATGTATATCCAAAATTTACATTGAAATACTACTCACAGCAGTGGTTCAGTTTTACAAATTTATTTTAGGGTTCTGGATTTTTTATTGACTTAACAACTTGACTCTATTTAATTTTGTGTTTTCATATGCTCAATACACATTTATGGCAATACATGTTTATCTTTGGTTAAAATTAAGGTCAAGGTCATTCGTGATAGCATAATGCAGGACCCCCTATGACATATTATGCCCTGTTCACACGGAGAGTTTAATTCGAATTAAACGTAAGTTTACTGCGAATTAGCTTCGCTTAGCTTTCACATGGAGAATTTAATGCGAATTAGTTTACTTCGCATTAGTTTACTGCGCATTAAATTACTTCGCATTTAGCTCCGTGTGAACGCTAAGCGAAGCTAATTCGAATCAAATTTTGGGGCATGCGTAATGGCAAAATTAAGTCAAATGCGTCATGTCGGTGGTCAGCTTTAAGTATTTGTGCTTTTTTTGAGTGAAAAACCAAGAAAAAATGTTGATCACTAAAACATGTCTCCAGACACTGTGACATTATGTCAAATGTATCTGCTTCTGCATAAGGTGACGTGATTTGCAAATGACATCATAATAGTCTAACTGACACCTGACTGTAAAAGTAAATTTTTAATTCGCATTAGTTTACTTCGCATTAATTTACTGCGAATTAAACTCTCCGTGTGAACAGGGCACTATATTTCTAGTTTGAATCTTATTTCAAACATCAAAGATATTGATGAAAATAGACTACAGACATAGTAGACAATCTCTTTTTAAAAATGTAGAATTCAAGATTAGGGGTAGATTTTAGCATGTTTGGTTCAGGGGCCAAGAAGATTTGGTCACTACCAGGAAAACAGTGTTTCAGTTATTTCTATTTTCTCTTTTTGCTATGTGCCAAAGATTTTGTGATGAGCTCTGGATTTCTGTACATATAATATTTTTGCTCATTTGACTAAAAATGACTCAGCAGACAGAGGTTAATGGCTAACCTCCATTTATGTAAATTAGATTAAAAATTGAAAGCAAATGCAGTGAATTACTGGTAATAAAAAATATGAATGAAGTTCATGTATGTATGCATTGAATTATTTGAAAGAAAAGTTTTTTTATTGAAAGTAAAATCCATGCAATAATGAATGAGATGTTACAAAGATGAGTTGATCATCCCCTGTAAATTCCATCTTATAAAATCCTGATGTTTTTTATGGATTTTAAGTGATTTATTTTGGATCAGATTGTTTTCTGCATGTGAAGACATCTTTATGTACATCTGCAGAGGAAAGGGATATTTTTTTGTTCAACATCTTTCCAATAACTTCTGTTTCATTTATAAAATACCTCCTTCAACATATGGAGGTGATTAAATAAATTTTGAAAAAATTACCCTTACAAATTTGTTTATTTTCATTGCATGCTGCAGAGGAGATTTTTGTACTTAGCTACTGTGCTTGGCTTTAAGCACAAGATTTTGCAACTTTCTTTGAATATTTCCAGATAGTGTCTGAAGAAGATTTATACTGAAATAAGTAAGATATGGAATTCATTTTACATAGATAGAATATCTTAAAGATCAAAGGAAATGAAATCTTGACGTAAACTAGATGCCACTGTGCTGGTAATGATGGAAAGCTGCAAATTGAGTACGATTCTGAATGAACCTGCTTTAGAATATATTCTCATTCATGTTTCAAATGCAAAATCACAGAATACTGCAAAATTGGGAGTTAAGCACTAGCCTTCCAATTTACTTTGTTGCAGAGTTAAGAGGTCCTACCTAGCTTGAACTTGTTCAAATGACCTTCATTCAAGGTTAAACCACATTATCAGGTTATGTTTTTGCTCTGCTTCTAATTTGAATTGTTTGAATGAACTGTTGAGCATGGATGCTATAATTCCTTTAAGCAACCAATTTTGTCAAGTATTCATTTCCATATACCTAATAATGGATTTATGTAATATAACTTCCATCCTCTCAGCAACAAAATAGACTTGGGACCCTGACAAAAAATTGTAAGGATTTGTTATTTCAAATATTCCCAGCAAAACATCAGAAAAACTGTTTTATGCTATCAAGTATTCCTTGCTGCAAAGAATTTTTACTTTGAATGCAGAATTGAGCCTTTCATCATGTAGTAAATAAAAACTGGACCAGAAATGTGCAATTCCAAAATAGGTATAATAAATTTGAAATCCTAGCGGTTTGATTTACCAAAGAAAAAGAGCAGTTGAATCAATACCATAAGTAATTGCATGCAGAATATGATACCCAACTTTTATGTTGCAATTGCCCTAGTCAGTTTTCTATTACCTTATTTAGTTCAAAGTAAATGCCTTTCCTAGTAATGCTCTATGAAGTCTGTCAAAAATGAAAAGTAGCTTTTTCTGCTAATTATGATTGAAGACTCTACACACTTGTTCAAAATGGATCATTTTTGGTAAGCTCTTTTTTCATAATTGTGTGTTTTGCTGTAACCAGTATCTGTTTTCATCAATAGCTGCCAAGTAGAAAAATGGCAAAGCAAGATAATCCAATCTTTGCTCTCTTTAACATAGTGACAGCACCATACCATGCAACCTAGCATAATTAATGAGAATTCATTGCAAATTGGTGAAATCTTTACACAGAACTGAACAGATAACATCACATATCATTAAGGGTGAGTGACTCCTAGAACTAGATTGATCGTATGCTTCTAAGTTACCTCCCCTTGTAAACAGAATGGCTCAGGTGATTTGGCAGAATTTCCACTCATTTCTATGATAAACAGGATGAAAAAATATCTATAAAAATTCCTTAACATGTTAAGAGAAAGAGTTTATTTTATTTCAAATAATTTTTTTAAGCAATATGTTGTCATCCAATACATTTTACATCCTTCACATGTATTAGGTAAAGGATTATAACCTCTGCCAGATTTAGCAGAAAGGGGTTATCTTTTTTGTAAATCATCCATCTACAAGATGTCGTGAAAAGTTGCCGATTGAGAAAAGGTGGAAGGATTTGATATTTAGTGGTTCCAATAAGGTGTGGATTGATGCTAGATTTTCACCTTGAGTAATGGTTTGTGAAATCACAGAGAGCAAAATCCTATTATAAGTATCCACACCATACTAAGTACAGTAATACTGCTTATAACAGAGTGACAAGGACAGACAATTTCATGTGAATGCATGAGTTCAATTTGATAGATCCATGAAGTTTATAACATATTTTTGAGTCACTGAGAATGAAAATCACTTTCACTGTAAGCGTCAATTCATAACAAAGCACTATTTACAGTATTGTTTTGTACATTCAGATATAGAATTCTGCATATTACAAGAGATTTTTAATTTTTTTTTTATTATGGGGGGAGGAAAATGCCATTATCACATGTAGCTCTTAATTTGTCACAATACAGCCCCCTCATCAGAAGAGCCAAAAAAGAAAATAAGAAGAATCACAAAAAATTAAATGTTTTCATGATTTATTATCTTTTTACAACAATCTGTACCCCTTCAAAACAAATGGGTATTTATGCAACTTTCTGGATATCTTGATTTAAATGTAGTTAGTTCTACAAATTGTTTCCACAGTGTAAATAGGACATTATATCCCAATTGTGCTTTTATTGAAATTTAGAAATTATTACAAAATATTGAATTTTATTTACAATTAACCAGTAGAAATCCTTCAAATCTAAACATATAAAGGTATAATTTTTAAAGTTAAAATGAAAGAGAAACATAATTTTTGCCTCAAAATATTAATTTGCATCCACACTTTTATTTTACAGTTGACAAGAATACTGTATGCAGGGTTATTTTTGCACTTGTGAACAATTTTGCCCCATTTCAAATTCGCTCAGTCACAGTTATGTTTTAGAAATTAAACTGTGTTCTTTGAATTAGCCCCATTATAAAATTCGCCCACCTGTGATTAGGGCGAAAATAAAACAGGGGTGAAATTTTCCCTGTATACAGTACAATAGGACTGATATTGGATTTGAAAGTAATATTTACTTAGCTGACTTCAAGGGAGCTAAATCATGAGTGTAAAGTGAATTTTCTCAATGCTATTAACAACCTTGAAATTATGGACTACAATGTGATTCAAAAAAAAAAAAAATCTTTCAAAAACAATAACAACACTGAATAAAACATGTGTGAAAACTTGGACCAGGCAAGGAATTATCTAATCTACTGATGAACAACAAATAAATAAACCTTAATATGTTTGTAAATGCTGAAAATTAATGCTTCAAAAATAAGAAAAATAATTAAAAACAAACAATACACATGGTAATAAATATAAAATGCAACAAATTGATTGTCATGCAAAATAGGATCTAGTCTCCAGCTAAATGTGGCCAAAAATAAGAACTAAAACATTTTTAAAATCCAGAAATATCAAGAAAATATTGAGGGTCTAAGATTATGAAAAAATATTCAGATTTGGGTATTTCCCAATTGTATAATTAAGAGTTAAAATAAAATCTGGTTCCAAAAGAATGGCACATTAAAAATAATAGACGTGCTAAAGTGGTTAAAATGTGAAAAACTTTTTTTATAATAACATGTAAAACAGGATCACAACAATAATTTTAAAAGTGTGTAAATTGTAAAAATATACCATTTCCTTACAACTTTTGTACTCACATGTACAAGAAAAAAAAAACAAGAAAATTTAAATCCTTCTTGCAATTCACAATTGCTAAGTATAAATGCATCATGTAGATAAAATTTCACAGATAAATCTTGATCATCAGTATGTTTTGTTTTACATCAAAGCACATGGATTTCATCTTATCTCTCCCTTCATAGAAGGTTGATATAATTTAATAAATAAAAACAAGAAAAAAGGGGGGAAATCAAAATGGAGACAGGTCAATGTGCAATGAATGAGATGGACAATTCCATTTCAAAGTTGTTTTTATTTTGTTGCGAAGAAAATTTAAGTATCAGAATGGCATTCTCTGTCAAAGACATTTGTATGTTGCCTTAACTGCACAATGTTGAAACTTAAATTTATCTAGAAAACTAACAATTTGCTTGTTAATCTTTATTGAGGAGATCAAAGAAATGTTTTGTAGCTTTCAAGGTATTACCATATTTACAACTGCAATTCAATGCCATTTTGTTCCGTAAATCAAGCATAATTCTATTGTAATCTCAGATAGGAAATGCTGCCTTAATTCAATTTTTAAATGTGAAGTTAAACCAAAGTTTGACTCTCAAAAGGGGGATTTTTATAAATATTGTCTCAGCTACTAAATCTGTAGAAAAAGCGTCATTGCAATATGCATTTACCATGATCAACAAAGAGAATGGGGAAGGGGTGATAAAGAAGGAAGCAGCAATACCTTTCATTGATATATTATATATGATTTTAAGTAGTAAAGTCTTCATAATTAAGTTAAAAACATGTAGAAATGATTTTTTAAAAAGTGACATTTTGTATCCAATATCATAGTCATCTTCCAGAAATCTGGATAAAATTTCGCACACTACTGAAAACATACAGTTGTCTATTTTTATAAATTTATACATACAACTTTCCATTAGACAAACAGTAATGCATGCATTTGTTTTCTTTAATACAACCTCTTGGAAGTGTATAAATAGAGAATTAACAGCTAAAAATAACAAATAAATGTACAATTGGAAAAAAATCTGTATATGTATATGTCTTGAATGTGTTATTGTGAAAAAAAAATTAAATTCAATTTTCATTACATTTAATGATATTGGCATAATTTCATTTTAAAATGTTGAAATAAACATGTGGTTTTATAAGGGACAATTATGACACTTTAACTGAACACACTACAAATTCAAGTTTTAAAAAAAAAAATTACATAATCATTGTATGTGCTATACAAATATCTCCTGAGATCATAATATTTCTGTCATTTTACAAGTCTACAAGGCTAAATCCTTAAAATTTAGTAGCTATAGGTCACGTGGCATCCACATCACAATTTCACATTCTCCTAACCACATAACAGCTCATTTATATCACAGCAATAAAACACAATCAAATTGCTGCACAAAACTTAGGCATTTACACATCGGTTTCAACCATTCTTAGCATCTGCAAAAGCAAATGCCCTGCAAGTTCAAGTGTACATATAGCACTGCAATAAGTCATTTTTCCATCTTCTGCCATTTTTTTCCCCACAATGCACTCACAACATATCCCACAATTCCTTTTTCCATTGTTCTTCCTCTGCTATAGGTTAGCTATGGGCAGTGCAATCTTGTCCGTGCCTTGGGAGTAGGTGACACTGGTGCTATTATTAGATCGCGTGGACTTTCCCGAGCGGGAGCTTGTCGGGGTGTAGGACCGGTGGTGGGAGGGGGGCTGTGAATGAGAGTGAGATTGAGAGGAATAAGCACTTCCTGAATTGTGAGTGTTAGCTACTAAAACATCACGAGTATAAGCAGCAGTGTACAGCGCTGTGCCATGCTGAGCGGTAGGGTGGTATACGGGTTGCATGGGGAAGTAACCCTGATGCGTGTGTGGAAATTCGCTATATTCCCGACTAGGAGGGTACGAAGAGTTACACGTGCTTTGACCTACAAAGAAAAGGCAGAAAGAAATATTCAAAGCTGTGTTAGTATTTTTTACAACAATGCCAAACTGAGAGGCTCTCATATATATAGCTTACAAACTTTATAATGTTTAACATGACTAAGCTTTTTGTAATTGTGCCTAAAGATAAATACTCATGCACCTAATTGAAATTTAACATCATTCAAATCTTCATCATTTAAGGTAGCCATGCAATATTGCAATCAAAGCATTGCTACAAAACAAAAAATAAATTCTTGGATATATGCTTCTTTTTATACTTTGATAAACCAGTATTTTAGTTTTTTTCTGTCATAATATAAAGCAATGCATGCATAATGCAAATATTGATTTTTATTGGCACTAAATTGTAATTACGAACTCACTTTCAATCTAAACTTGTACTCAATATTGCAGCTGATCATGAGAATTTGTTTTAAACACAAACATTATGTCAACACATGAACATGCATTTACGAATAATGAAATTTGTTTGTTAAGAGGCCTAAAGTACTAGATACAAAACCAATCTTTCTCTAGAGGTTTTACTATTTAAACAGATGTTTTTGTACCGCTCAATGCTACGCACTATTTTATTTCACAGCATTCAACTTGGTAAATATTATGAAAAGCTGTTTTTCACGTAACTATTTTGAATTAAGTCTAAGGTATTAAATCTAACAATATGGCTCTGAAAGATGTGCTTCTTTTCTAGATGACAGAACTGTCACAAAATTTAACACTTTGTTAATTAATGAGAAGATTAAATTTCTAGAAGCAGGGTCCTCAGGGCTATTAACTATCAGAATTTAATGCAATCAGATATGCCACAAGCAAGTGCAATTTTTAAAAGATACTAGAAATTTAATCTTTTTAATCACTATTGGGATCAATTTTTGTGACACATTTTTTAAAGCAAGTTTCAAAGGATAAGATAGAGTAAACGAATAGTTCTTGCCCCAATAAATGTATCCTGCTTACATGATACATCTTGAATTTAAAATTCAAAAAAAGTCGGGAAGACCCGAATTGACTTTTCTAAGTCACTATCAAGAAGGTCATCACTTGCTTTCATTTTTAAATCCCTTCTCTTTAATCAGCTAATCCCTACGCCCTAATCTCTTAACTTTTTAGCAACAACTGGATATTTTCTTTTGTCTGAAGTTGACATGTTATTTATCATTTCTGAAGTATCAATACAAACTCTAGTGAACACAATGCCCCTGGCAGGTGAAAGAAGCAAGAGGTCTGCAGAAACCTTACTCCATCCCAATATACAGAGATTTTTAAGAATCTAGGAAGTTCCTCCTTAACCCTTTCATCAATGAACGTCACTTTTGATCTGTAACAGATTCTGGCCACTACTTGTCCTTAGTTACAAAATAATGTCTATATCCTTTACAAATATTATATACTTCTTATACCTGCTTTATAATTGCCAAAGTGTTGTTGGGTTTATATGGTTTACAGGACTTTGAAAATATTTTCCTTGGTTCATATTACCTGTATAATATCTTTTCATATAAAAGTGCATTCATATACTTTTTGGTAAAAATATAAATTCCACGTTTCAAGGCATCTATTTTTGAAATTTAGAGATTCAACAGTATATAAAAGTACTTTTTATAAAAAATAAAATTCTATGGCCTTCTCTAGACTTGAAGTTATATTCTTTATATTTGTCCTCTGAACAACCCTATTCCTTTTTTTATCCTGCAAAGACTTAATTATATCCAATAAGATTTTTGTTCTCTGCTTATTTCCATATTATCTTTCTTCAACATGTGTAGTTTAGCAGTGACAGATGATTTTGCTGGTAGATAAAGATTTCCATTACCCACTAAAAAATCAGGAGAAATCCATGCTACATTAGTAATTATATTCATTAAACAAGATGATGACCTGCCCGGTTATAAGATTCAGTGGAAATGATCAGGAAGCTAAGAAAACCTATTAATCTCTCTTGTTCATGTTCAAACCCATCCCTCGAAGGGACCAAGTTCATTTAGTTTTCATCAGATATCAGTCTCCATTACACTGTTCTGTAATTAAAGTTTATCTGAATGAGGCTGCTGATTGCTTAATCTTAATTAGCAGGACATTATTTGATGGAGATAACTGGAGGATTACATCACAATTTTCTACAAAACAAGATCGGCAATAAACTTAATCAGGGATTCATTACCAAGAAAGCAATTTATAAAAATATGAGAAATATCTATCATAAAATCTCTGATTAGGAATGCCTGGTTAAAATCTCTAAATTATGAATTTCTAGTCATTACTACATAAATATTTTTAATGGCACTAAAAAGAAAATAAAGTTGAAACAGTTATTTGGTCCTTACTTTGATTATAGGGTGGAACCCCATTTGCTGCCAAATTGTTGGGGGCAGCATTATGTGGCGAACTAGTGGTGCCCTCTGGGGGCGGTTTACAAAATACTTTTTTACAGCAGCAGACGGCGGCGACAATGCAGACGATTAGAACGATGAGACTTCCGACAGTTATCGTCACCGAGGCCGTTACTCCGAGGGCTAAGAAGCGGTTGAGAAAGGAGCCATCTGAAACAACACAAAAATAGATCCTGGTTTTAAATATATAAACATGGAGGGGCTTAGGACCCCCAACAAATCTCTAATTCCTGGTGAAAAGGAAAAATAAATAAAGTCTAATGGTAGACCTGCACCTGATTATACAGATACAGTTTAACAGCCTCTGTTGAAACTTTTTAGATACTGTATCTAATTTCAGTTGTACTTTTTCATAAATGAATGAAAATGTGAGACATTAAAAAAGTACAAACTCTGAATGTCAGACTGTTCTAATTTAACAATTTTTAAACAAAGAAGAAGGTATGGTTATAGCTTTATTGCGCCCTAAAAATGTGATGACATCAAAAAGTTTTGAAACTGGCTTAAATATTAGTTAAATAAATGACTGTGATAAATCAGGAAAGAATATGGCATGAAGAATTACCATTCTGTAAATATGACGTCATAAATGTGAAGCATTTCTCTATTTTCAACAGAAAAAGCCTCAAAATGGCACATTTCAAGGGTAATTTTCCTTTAGAAAACTGTGTCCACAGCCGTCGCCCACGTTAATTTTTTGATAGTTTGTGCACAATTCAATAACAAATCACATATCTCAAGATCTTTTTATGGACAATGTTATCTGAAAGAAAATTCAGTTGAAAATTGGTGTCTTCTGCAACTTTTTAAGAAAATACGGGAAAAAACGTTTATGACGTCATAATTAGCATTTAAAAACACATGTGAGAAAAATGACTTGTATGATTTTTTTGCATTGAATTTCAATTATTTAAAAAGCATGAGTTTTCAACTTTTACACCAGTTTCATATTTTAGAAAACCACAGGGCAAAATTTGTTTTGAAATCATACCTTCTTCTTTTGAAATACATGTACAGTTAATTCTCGATAAACCGCCACCTTTTGTAATTTAGAAATCATGGCGGTATAACGAATTTGGCGATGAATTGAATTTTCCATCTTGTAGGAGAAAAGAAGTAGAGTTATCGTTCTTAGAAATACCATTTAGCATTTCTATTCTTATTATCACATGTACATGTATATATAAACATATTTCTAAATTTGAAAATACTTCAAGTAATTTTTTTATGTTCAATTTCGCTAAAACAAAGTATTCAGTTATGAAATTAAGACAAGTATATGTGTACAGTTATGTATGTAAATCTGCACGTCTGATACTGAAAAAAAAAGGATCGTTGATATATTGCCTATAATACGTAAAATAAGTTCTTGAATAAATTCTTTGTTTATGAAATCATTGTTAATGAAACGTTCAGAATTTCTGACTTATAATTATTTTTTAAGCAAACTTTGCATTGTTTTTAAAAGCAGAGATCATCAAAATAATATCGTTATCGGCGTACTTTACAACGACCGCTTTCGTGGCGAAGCCTTGACTAAATGATTTTATTAAAAAGAAAACAAAATTATTCTAACAGTTCATGTTAAAATCATTGTTTACTTAATTGCATGTACCTTGATTGGCTTTGCATGCTTTACAACAGGGATAGCGTCAACCAATTATCACTGACCACATACACCTGTGGCGGTTTATCGAGATAATTGACGCTTAAAAATGGACGTTTGTTGTGAAAACAGGGTTGCGGATGGCGATATGCGTATTTGATGTTATAAAGAGAATTTTATATAGCAGGAAAATCGTTCTTGGGAAATCATGGCGGTATTGCGAAAATGGCGATGAATCGAATGGCGATAATTCGAGAATTGACTGTACTGTAAAATCACATACTTTTATGAAGTCCAATTTCTGAGTTTTGGGAAAGAAAAATTGGTTTGTGGGGATTTGATTTCGAAGTTGGAGAAGTACATGTATTGAGTAGTAATGCATAGGAAATGTTACATTTGGAGGTGGTCACGAGTATGGGGGTCTCTCCATACCTTGAAATCAACAAAAATTAAACCCCATTCAAAAATTAGTGATTTCACGGTATATCAATTTTTCTTTGCATTTTGAATACAAATTCAAAAAAATATAATTATTTTCTCCGAACAGCTAGGTAGAACTAAGTATAAGTGAGAAAGGATGGGTGCCTGTAATTAATGTAAAAATGCTCATCTTTATCTTACAAATTCCATTAGACGCATACATCCTGTTGCTTGTATACAGTAATCTTTTAACACTTACGATTATTTTTAATATGAATCATGCCAGTAATCATAACATGTACTATCTTAATCAAATGGGCTTTTGGACAAATTCATCATAAATCCATATGTTTCTGAAAACCTTTTGAAAATCGTAGTTCCATCAACAATATCCATGTCAGCTTGTTTGCTTTTTCTACATCAAAGAAAAATTATATCTACCCAAAGGCACCAAATACCGATATTTCCCTGATCAAAGAAAGCAAGATCAAGTTCCGGCACCTTGATATTAATTTATAAGATGAGCAGGGCTAAATTATAATCATGCAAAAGGATCCAATTTTCATTACTGAAGAATCAATTAATATTGCACAATGTACAAATTTATGACACAATTTAAAAAAAAATATATAAAAATGCATTGTATATTTTTTGCCTTTGCTTCATTTTTTTTTTTTGAAAATTAAAATTGTACACATTTTGCAGTCTGGCTAGCAAAATGCCTTAACCCTGCATCCAAATATCCTCTGCTCATAGCACATGCTTCCCTTTGCTATCCCTTTCTAATCTTATCCAATAAGATATCAGGTGCATTTATGAGATACCAGTGTGAAATATGTCCCTCTAATTCCAATCTCAGCAGAACCTATTAATTAGTTTTTTGTCTGCGATGTCTTGTTAAGATAAAGTTATGGTGGTCAGCTGGAGAAAATGGCTGATTATGAAGGTAGGCCGTGTGAGAACGGATGCTCTTGCTTTAGCATAAAGCTTTATATCAAGACCATTAATGATAAGCATATAGTCACGAACCTTAATTCATACATTATACTTACATTATATATATACATGTACCCAGTAGTCTGATATTATCACACATAAAGTGAGTACATCTAAATTTTTACTATTTCTTAATCGGAGAGAAATCCTCAAAACTAATCATGTAAAATATATTCATCAAACACTAAACTTGAACTGTTTGCAATGTAGATACATACAGTAACTATTTTTTTAATGATTGTATTTAAGTTTAAAAAACATGTTTTTTCATGCATCCAAGTCAAAACATCATTTTATATAAATTAAACTACATCTGATGAAAATGATTGTGTTTACTTTTGAATAAGATGAAAAAGTCAATTTTGATAATTCTATCAAAACACAAACTTCCTGGCCTTTGAAAGGGTTCAACTTGAGAGAAACCATTGCAGAACTGAACATAAAAACAGCAATGATAAATGAATACACCAAAATAATCATTTATAAAATACATCACCCATTTGCCTAACTGTCATAGAAAAATATGCCCGGAAACATCTTATCTTAAACAAGAAAGCTTTTTACAAAAATTTAAAACAAAAAAAAATTTAGTCAAAATTTGGATTTAGGATAAAGGATTAGACTTGATGACCAGATAAAAATGTCCCAATAATCTTGATCGAGACAGAAATCACAGGAACAACATGGAGTCCTGATGTAAACAAGCAATGCTCTCTATCACTTTTTCTCTTGATTCTCACAGAAGATAAAACAATGAACTAAAACATTGTCTGGCACCAGTCTCTGTGTAATGTAGATGTCAGTGATTATAGAATTGTATGGAGACCTAAAATCTCTGATTTGGGATTAGAGAGGGTGATCTGTTTTAAGCCATTCCCAGTTACAGTGATTATTTTCTTTAGATTTTTGTTAAGATCCATGAAAGTTACTCTTTATTTCCCAAAATAAAAATGTGTTTTTCTATTTACAATCTCCAAATTTCACATATACAATCCTTAAAATCCCCAAAACATCTATTTAACAATGGTGGTAGGACTTGGGGAAAAAAAATAATGATTCACATAAATAAAGTACAATTCAATAAAGTGTCTTTTCATTTCAAAAAAAAAAATTGGAGTTAATGAAATAAAACAGAATTAAAAAGAACAATATGAACTCATATTTCCATCCAAATGTTTCTTTTGTACATATCACAAATAAAAGAAGACTTTGATGCTACAGATCAAATTCTTGTTCTATTTGAATTTAATTCATGGCCAAATAATATGATAACAGCAATCAATGACTACGAAGTAAAACTTTTCAAACATTAATTTTTTTCCGAAAAATTCACTTCTTTTTACCAGTAATTCTGTTAAATCTCTATACTCTCTATTTAGATGCTAAGAATGTATCAGAATGGCTCTTTCTTAGTTTTGACTGCTAGAATATCTTACATTGTTGTTGTTTGACTAATTGAAGGAAGAGAGCCAAAGGATGCCAATTATCGATAAAAAAATGTGACCACCTTGAACATTAATTGATATAAACCTAGGATGTAGCCAAAATATATTCAGTATTATCTAGGCAATGTCCAAAATGTGTGTGGTTTGGTAAACATCAGTGTGTTTGCTATATTAATAACACTGTACCAGATAATGGCATTACACCTTATAATCCTGGTCACGGCACCAAAATTGACCAAACATTGAAAAAAAACTTCTTCCCTTTAAAATCGAGTCATTTAAAAATATTAATTATTAAAAGATATAATATTACACAAAATCACCAATCTGTTTAATGAAAATTTTGATATTTTTTTTCCCACAGCTTACCATCTTTGACGCCACACTGAGCAAACCCCTCCATGGCCTCATCAGAGTTATCACCGCAGTGATCCACTTTGTCACACTTGAGGTCTTCATCTATACAATATCTATTACCACACTGGAAATGTGTGCCACAGGAATTATACTTTTGAAAATCTGAAGTAAAAAAAAAGAAGAATTTACTTATCAATGCAAAAATTTTACGTGTCGTGAAAATAAAGCCATTAGGGCATTTTATCAATTTGTTCTATCAAAGTTCATAATACAGCATCACTAATTTTTAACAAACTGTTTACAATCTCAAGCCATTTTCAAATTTCTTTTAAAAGCATTTTCAGGTAAATATAAAATTTGTCATCTTAAAAACATCTCCAAAAATTGGAGTTAATCATGACATTGAACCATAAATCATTCAATGAACAATTGTTTAATCTTTTGTTGATCGACTTTTTTAACAAGCTGCTGGTGTCATTTGATATAGTGTTAATATTACTCTACCAATTATCATGCCTGATAATTATTCTTGATTGAATTATGGTAGGAACACAAGAAATATCAATTTATTGACTCTCTTTCTGAAAATACATGGAGCTGTGTTGGATTGAACTGCCTTCCAGTCGATAGCATTCACTGTAGGATTAGGTAAATTATTGTTGAGAGTGACAAAATCTTCAGGTGTAATTGTTTGAATTGATAAGTTCACATCCATCACATGAAAGAGTGAGAGAGGAAAAAGAAAAAGATCAACTTTGTGAGAGATTCATTATGTATAGGCCAGGCCATCTATAAAAAAATGTTTGGTTTCTCTCTCCTTACCATGTGACTTATAAAAACTAAAAATGGCCTTCTAGTACTCAGAACTTCTTTTAAACCCCAAGAAGCATTTGTTTTTCAGCCTTTCGGAAAATAGATTTTGAAAATTTCAGCATTGTTGAAATTTTCTGATGAAAGAATTTCTCATCAACCTATTGACTTATTTTTTTTTCATCCAGAGTCAGAAGAGGGCAAAAAGTTGGTCCCATATAATTCACACAAGTAGCCCCATCAGCTATTGACAGAGTTACATAATACAATACATAAAATAATCAATCTGAAGAAAAGTAAAACACTGTCATTACCATCAGATACATTTATGATGGATGTCTCCAACTATAAAACTATCCTAACCACTGTACCAAGACATGCAAAATGAACATCAATTTTAAGATAGTCCTGACCTTGAAAATAATCTGACCTTGTCCTAACATTACTTCCATGTTTTAAGCTATTTGTGTTGTCTAATATTCCCTAAGATTTGGTTTTTAAGACTGAGCTGTTCATAAATCTGATGATTCATCTCCTAAAATACAGCCAGATTATTTGTGCTGGACCACAAAAGACCACAAAAGACCGGACTTGATTAGACCTTAATAAACTATCAATGGGCAATAAACATGACAAGAAAATGAATACCAGAGGTTTGGGTAATTTTTTCAAGATACTGGGAACTAATAGGCATGTATAAATGAACTGTTTCAATAACAAGAATACTAACAAGACGCTACTGTGTGTCTAACATGTAACAACAGCAAAATAAGCATTATAGGTGAACTAGATTTTTGGATGAAAATTTGGTAAATTTTATTTTTTATTAACTAAATTGTCTTGTAAAAAAACCTTAAGAAAAAGAATTCCAAGCAGCTTTTAATTGTTGTCAGCTTCAAAATGTCAAGCAAAGATGGCCTGTCTCCTGGTGCCAATTGGGAACAAATTTTACTTCAAAGCCAGACAGTTAAATCACCCTTGGGAACAAATTGTCATCAGAACATGGAAACAAGCCATCACAACTAAAGGTTGACCAGCGTCTCTTGGTAAATTCTCTTCCAGGGAGGATAATTGTCCTTAAATGTTGACAATTCTTCAATGTGAAAGATTATTGATTCTCCAAACTCAATTATGAAGAAGACATTGAATGCTTCCCAAAATGTTTCAATTCCAAGAATTTTATTGTTGTTCTATGTAGACTTTCAGATGTTCAAATTTTATCAGACAATGAAAATGGAGATAATTTACATGCAATGTGTTGAAAAAATTAGCAACAAAATGAAACTTTGTTTAAATTAATGCCAATTTAACATGCATACAAATGCTCTGTCGTGTTTAAAACTCGATTTTCCACTACATTTACTTCTTTGAATAAGGCGAACTTGTGTTTTGAATTCAATACAGCTGTTTCCATTACATGAATAATATCTTGTGTTAATTTCGGCTCCCATTATCACATACAAGAATGGAATCTTCATAAATCATCGACTTTGTAATTCAAAAAACACTGCATGACAGTGCAACAATTCTGCACAAAACAAAAGCAACACAAAACCTCATGCAACCAAGCACTAAAAAAAGACTCATCTGAACAATATATACACATGGAAAAAAGAAGTCAATCATAATAGCTACCCAAAGCAAAAAGGTTCTATTAATAGCTTTGTCAATATGCCTAATTACTGAGCATTGCATCTCTGGATCTGTAGCAGATAATTATCTGGAAACCCTTTACTAGTCAATGGTAAAAACATTACCACTGCAACTCAAAATGTTATACAAGATTTCCCTTGTAATTTGCAGCCAGAAATCTTCCAAGATCCCCACTGTACAGGCACCTAGGTCATTTATTTCTAATTGGGTAATTGTTCTAAAACAGCAGATTTGCCACTACAAAACATGGGAACAGTTCGGTACAGGCATACTCATCTAATCCAGGGAATATATGGGAGCAAATGCTCTCAATCATCAGTAAAGTGGATAAAATTGTACAGATTTTTGCAGAGTTCTCATCTAGATGGAACCGAACATTCTTTCCCACTGATTAATAGCATACAGACCAAGGGGGTTTTTATTTCAATTGATAAAGGATTCTACCATTTATCTATCCAAACTGTTGGATATTTGATTGTCTGTAAATGGTATATTACAGTTTGCTCAGATTTTACGAGGTTTCCACCATAGACAATTTCCTTCCAATGAAACGACTACGGCTTGAACAATACTGGATGAAACGAAGCAATGACTTAATAATGGCTCATGAGGACCTGTTGCCAAATCGACCATTAAAACAAGCAGGCGGCCAGGAAAAACTGTGACGATCAAAAAAACTTGAAGAAGATGTATAACTAAATACCCTTGAACTTCTCCCGAATTAGAGATAAGGAAAATAATACACCTGTCAATCTCCTAGCAGTTTATAAATCAAACCGCAGTTAAAGTGGTAAAATTCGGAGTCCATAATCACCCAAATCACCGAATTCTTACTTTGTCTCATGATAAGAGAGAAAAAAAATTTTTTTTTTTCAAAACTTGTCACTTTCATAGGATTTCAAAGAGAAAAAGATCTCTTAAATGAACATTAAAATCTTTCAATGTTACGAAAATTCTCGATTCGTATCGAACTTCAGCTTCAGAAATAGGAAACTTTTTTCCAGCCTGATAAACCAGTCTTGTCAGTTTGTATATTTTATTGCAGAAATACAGGAGCCAAGCTGAAAAAGGTTAACCGTTCTGACATTGTGATAACATGTTTCATCACTCTATCTCGCAACCAAATGATGGATTACTCAAAACTCCGTATCATACCTTGTTGTTTTTTCACCTCCAACTGTTTTATGATGAGGAATGATCAAAGGGGAGTAGGGGTTTAATAGTTTCCCTTCCAGTCTTAGGAATGCGATCCCTTAACATAGAAAACAGACCTTTAACATATTGTATTGCAGCTCTGGCTTAAAAATTGAACAACTGAATGGCTCTTCAAGATTTATCTGCCCAAAATGATGAGTTTATGTACAGAAGAGAAATTTGTATTTCATAGGCACCAGCAAGTACAAATTACAATACCATCCATTTAAAATATCTACAACTCCTTCCCCCCTAAATATTTGATTTACATGTAAACATTAACATTGTAGATAAATAGCAGCTCCGATACTTTGATGATAATGAAAACAACAAAATTCAATCAAGCTTGCCCAATCATTTCCTATTCATGAACCAAAAGACCCATCTTCCCTGACCACTTGATGCAGACCAAGAGCAGCAAGAAAATGTTTCCATGGAGAAACAACCATAATTGCCCTTAATTCGGTGTTTGCATACTCTTGAACTCCAATATCCTCCACCATTTTCTTTTATTAGAAATTTCCACTAATTAATTCCCTCTGCATTTGGGGATGTCAAACCGAAGAGGGGGTTGACTATAAAGACAGCATTGGAAATCAGCAGGTGGAATCCATTTACAAGGTCCTTTTGTCATATTAACCTATCAAATATCCACAACATGACAGGCAAGAATTCAGAGAAAAAGCTAGGGATTTCAAAGGATGAGAGACAATAGTGACCCATACCCTGATCACAGAGAATAATTGGTCATCCAATATCAATGGTACTGGCTATAATGAGTCTCAAATTAGGGGCAATAGAGGAAGGAAACCAATGTATTAGAGATTAATATTGGGAAGAATTTATATATTTGATCTTTACGCATTTCATATAACTTAATTTGTAAGAGGCGTAGAACCACGTCAATTAAACTAGAATTCAAAGAAGGATAAACAGTAATAATAGTTTACTTGCCTACCAAGTTTCAATAAAATCAGATAAAAACTCTTAAAGATGTAGAATTTTGAAAAAATTATTTTAGGAGAGCCAAACAGCAAGACAGAAGGCAGTTCAATAGACATCTTACTTAAAGAAGCATTCACTTTACAGTATTTTGTAACAATTATAAAATATGCATATAAATATGCTTTTAGTTGTATATACCTTCACTAAATGCTGTAACTATGAATTTGAAACCCCTTCCAATTTCTCTTCTTTTTAAATCTCCATTTTTGTTGGTCCTAAAAAGAAAGAAAACAACATAAGTACAATGTAATCTATAATGTATTTTAAAGTGTTGGCATTGCATTACTGAAAGCAACATATGTAAGAAAAACACAAAAACTGTTTTAATTATCAGTTCTTTTCAACACACACAGGGTGATGGTAATAAAAGTCATTTTAAGGTGTTGGCAGTGCAACTCTTCAGTAATAGGAGTTACATTTATGACATCTCTGATAGAATTACTCAGCATGTGTGGTATCAGTTGCCTTAAAGATAATAGAACTACTTCTTTGAAAGTCAAAACATTAGATACTTTCTTCTTTATGATTTCCTCTTTTTCTTTTGACAAAGTATTATATAAGTTTTCTAGAGATTTTAACTTCCTACTTTAAAGATATCAAGTCTTACATTACCACTGACAATAAAGGAAAGGTTATAAAATTTGTAAGCTATTGACCCCAAACCTCAAATAAAATTTTCAACTACCTGTACCAAGAGTATGTGCTCTCAGAATACATCTGTAGTAGAAATTTGCTGTGTTGTTTAATGGAGTCAACACAAGAACTCTCATTATTAAAAGACCACCAAAGAGTTAAAAACTTAAAATCCTTCACATTTTACATTTCAACCCATATTACAGAATTAATTTGCTACTGACAGTAAAATCTTGTCAAAATGGTGAAATTCAACAGACACCATGCTGGGCCACGACAATTCGATTTTAGTACTAAATTCTTCTTATTTATAGAAAATTGTTTTGAGGATTCCAAACATTTTTTGTGTGAGATTAATCTTGTTATGTGTAGTAAAAGACGGTTTTAGTGAACATGCTTATAACAGTGAAGTGATTTTATTCACCGTGACTTTATTATATATTGCAAACTTAACTGAATGAATTATGCTTTTAACAAAGCAAAATAGTCCATCTTTTATTCTTTGTTACAACTGTGTTTTACTGTATGAGGTCACAAATTTTCCATCAAAATTTTTACAGCATACTTAAATTGCATTCAAGACAAACAAATGGCAATCAACAAACCAGAAGTCTCTGTCGAGAGTGAAGCTCTACTGGTTTGTACTTATAGCAAAAGAAGAGAAAAGTACTTATGCAGTTGGGAATTGAAACTTTTCAACAGCAATTAATAGAAAAATGATCCTTGATTTAGTCTCTTTATGTTTTAGTGTAGTCTACTTGCATGCCACATTACATTATAATCAGACTAAAACTGTATTTGGAGTAGCATTTTGAGTGTATTAAACAGAAATTTCTATTTTTAGTAACCGTGGCAACACCGTTCATTGAAGTGAAAAACTATACACAGAATTATGTACCTTAGTGTAGTCTACTTGTGTGCCAAGTTATATTGAAATCAGACCAAAACTGTAGGAGGTGTAGCATTTTGAAATAATTTCACAGAAATTTCTATTTTTAGTAACCACAGCAACACCGTTCATCGAAATCAAAAACCGATACACAGAATTATGTATCTTAGTGTAGTCTACTTGTGTGCCAAGTTACATTGAAATCAGACCAAAACTGTAGGAGGAGTAGCATTTTGAAAGAATTTCACGGAAATTTCTATTTTTAGAAGCACGTCAACACAGTTCATCGAAATCAAAAACTGATAAATAGATTTATGTACCTTAGTGTGTTCTACTTGTGTGTCAAGTTATATTGAAATCAGACCAAAACTGTAGGAGGAGTAGCATTTTGAAAGAATTTCACAGAAATTTCTATTGTTAGTAACCACAGCAACACCGTTCATCCAAATCAAAAACCGATAAACAGAATTATGTATCTTAGTGTAGTCTACTTGTGTGCCAAGTTATATTGAAATCAGACCAAAACTGTAGGAGGTGTAGCATTTTGAAAGAATTTCACAGAAATTTCTATTTTTAGTAACCACGGCAACACCGTTCATCCAAATCAAAAACCGACACAGAATTATGTATCTTAGTGTAGTCTACTTGTGTGCCAAGTTAAATTGAAATTAGACCAAAACTGTAGGAGGAGTAGCATTTTGAAAGAATTTCACAGAAATTTCTATTTTTAGTAACCACGGCAACACCGTTCATCCAAATCAAAAACCGATATACAGAATTATGTATCTTAGTGTAGTCTACTTGTGTGCCAAGTTATATTGAAATCAGACCAAAACTATAGGAGAAGTAGCATTTTGAAAGAATTTCACAGAAATTTCTATTTTTAGTAACCACGACAACACCGTTCATCCAAATCAAAAACCGATACACAGAATTATGTATCTTAGTGTAGTCTACTTGTGTGCCAAGTTATATTGAAATCAGACCAAAACTGTAGGAGGAGTAGCATTTTGAAAGAATTTCACAGAAATTTCTATTTTTAGTAACCACGGCAACACCGTTCATCCAAATCAAAAACCGATATACAGAATTATGTATCTTAGTGTAGTCTACTTGTGTGCCAAGTTATATTGAAATCAGACCAAAACTGTAGGAGGAGTAGCATTTTGAAAGAATTTCACAGAAATTTCTATTTTTAGTAACCACGACAACACCGTTCATCCAAATCAAAAACCAGTAGAGCTAAAAATTACTTCTATCCATGGATTGAACCGAAAAATTTTGATTCTGCAGAATTATAAGTGGAACCCCCATGGAAAAAATCTGTTTAATGTAAGGTTCTAGCAAAAACGTACTGATATTTATGGCTTATCATGGAGAAAAAATGAGCTATCAAACCTAGTGTCAGCAATATTACATATACATCAAAATGTTCAAACAAATTAAAAGAACAACTTCAAAACCAATACCAAAAGACAACCTCTCTACTCATCAAAAACAAGACAGCGGCATGATTTAATTACGAAAACCACATAAAAGTCACTGTAAGCTCCTTTCTGCCTCAACCCTCCTTGTAACCTGTCAAAAGATCATAATTGTGTCCCAGGGAAGACTAATAGCCAGGATTCACATAACTGTCTATGGAGATCAACTAATTGACTCTTCTCTGTCACACAAGTCTATAGACATACCGCCTGATCTAGAGAACCTAGCTTATAGTGATAATGTGGATATCAAAGCAGCAGCCGCCAATGGAAGGAAATGCAGCCATGAAGCTGATGGGGGTATTCATCATATTTTTTCCTGTGTGCATGTCAAGAGTCATTACTCAATATTAAGTGGTTGTTCCAGGATTAATTATTTATCTCATGCCAAAGCCTACAGAGATGGCTTAATTCTCTCCTGGAAAAAATCTTCTCTAATCTAAGACATCAACTCTGCAAAAACAGAGGTGTGAAGTATGAATTTGTTGCAAGGAATCAGTTTAAGCTCTGAGCTTTTAAAAATTTTATTAGCTATCAAACCTAGTGTCAGCAATAGGGTTTGTTACAATAAATAAAATGTTCACACAAATTAAAAGAACAACTTCAAAAAATGAAAAGTCACCTTCAAATTTATCAAAAATGGTGAAAACAATGAAATACATGTAACAATAAAATAATTGGCAATTAGGCAATAATAAATTATGGGTTACCTGGCAATAAAAGTCACTGTAAGCTCCTTTCTGCCTCAACCCTCCTTGTAACCTGTCAAAAGATCATAACTGTGTCCCAGGGAAGACTAATAGCCAGGATTCACATAACTGTATGGATTTGCCGGGGATTGGCATCAATGAATCAATTGGGTATGGATCTTCGGTTGGCTGTCACACAATATCTATCAGATTTTACCCACTTCTGGGGAGTTAGAGAACCTAGCTTATATGTTGATAATGTGGATAAGAAAAAGCAAGGAGCCTTCTTTATATACCTTTTCATCACTAGGGCCGAATTAGTTCACGCAGCCATGAAGCTGATGCCAGTATTCGCGCATATTTTTTCCTGTGTGCAACTTTTGTCAAGTAAAGGCTTTATCATTACAAATCAATATTAAGTGAATTGTTTTGGTAACGATGCCAAGTTGGAATTATTTATCTCATGCCAAAGCCATTTGCTATTACGATTGGGCTTCTCTGGAGGAAATTCGGGTTTCTTACAACGAAACGATAGCATGAAATAAACATATACAATGAATTATAAAGCATACATTAATGACCAGAGGTGTGAAGATGTGAATTTGTTGCAGGGAAGCAGTTTAAGCTCTGAGCTTTTAAAAATTTTATTGCGCTAGCTAGGACTCTTTCAGACCAATTCCTTTAGAGTTCTAGTGTTGGTGAACAAAACAACCTACCGGTATTTCAAATTAAAAAATTTCCACAGTTCCACTCTCTCTTCATGTTAGACTAAAATACCATGTCTTGATTCTGTTGCTCAATAGCAAAAATCAGCAATTCTCATCTTAGTTACCAGAATTACTTTCGAAATTGCCAACAAAGACTGGAAAATAAATATTCTGAGAGTAAATGCTACATCTTTATGCTCAACATGCTCAAGAACAGTTGCATAACCCCTTAAGCTTTCTCACGTTTTTGCTATTTATTGCTCCAAGTATATTTTTATTTCTATGAAAGTGCGTAGAAGTTAGTGTGACATAAAAGTGACAGCAAGATAAAAAGTCAATTCCTTCAAAAACCAACACATTTTTACATCATTTATAGTCATCAAGAGAGACAGAAATATTTATACAACCAAGTCCTACCGAAAAATAAACTCAGCTTGGAGAGGAATGAAGAGAAATGTTAACAAGAGCATTGCAACTTATGATTTCAAATGAGCACATCAAAGAGGCTTCCCACTGAAACACTTAGTTTTGTTTGCCATTGCCATTAGCTGTAATTCAACGATCAGTAAGCCTCCTAAGAGAAGACTCAGTGGAATCTTATGTTTTTCATTGAGACCTGAAGTGGGGGTAAAAAAAAACACAACTGAGTAACTGCTCTCTTCCTGGAACTGCGTGACCTGAGCATTTCTGCCTGCTGCTCACTAATGCACTTTGTTTCTATCTTTTTTACACAGCTTTCAGGGGTCTGAATGGTCTTCACCTTTTGTTTGTACTTGGTCAAAGTTATGCCAGAAATTTGAAAAAAATGCAAAAGAAGATACTGCAAGTCACCCAGGATGCCATTTTCAGTGGTGCCCTGCCACTGAGAGAAATGTTAACAAGATCTTTTAACATTATGCCTTATGATTCTGAATGAAGACATCAAAGAGAAAACAGACTCCCCCATGTTTATTTGTATATTGTAGAATAGCTTCCACATGACCACTGTCTCACCTCATAAAAGAATAAATATTTTCAATTTTGTGTGATACAGATTCTACCAAAATGAAATATATATTCTGCAAAAACACTTTTTTTCTTACATTATCTACTAACTGTCATACTGTAGATCACTTAATTTTCGCGACACCTTATTTTCGCAAGATAGTCATTGACTCTTTATTAGCGTGACAAAATTTTCATAAATTGTGCATGGTCATTGCTCTGTATAATCTTAAGGAATTAAATTATACGCAAGAATGAAATTTTCGCGAGCATACAATCTTGCATGATTACGAGAAAATAAAGTTCTAGCAAATAAAAAGTGATTTACAGTACTTTTACCACATTGAATTTGACATGAAACCTATGCACTGGATGGATGCTGAATACAATGTAGTATATAATGCTGAGAAATGGGAGTTGACATCAAATCACATTTTGAATGCATGTATAACTTATTTATGTAATGGTTTGGGCTGTGGATATCAACCTTGGTAACTTAGTTGTTAAAGCAGTACCTGACGAGTGAAGCAAGTGGGTTCCACATTTGATTCCTGGTCCAGCCGTACACATACACATTCTTTCCTATTACAAATCTGGTGCCTAATTGACCACCCCTTGACTTGCAGGTGAATGTCTTGCCAGAGGCAAATTAAAGGACCTGGGTTGTGTCTTTGATAGGCTAAGGACAATTCAGGAAGGAGGAATGTAATGGTCTGGGCTGTGGATATTGGCCTGGATACTGGATAGCTCGGCTGGTAGAGCACAAGGACGCAAGGGTCTTGAGTTAAGTTTTCTGGTCGATTTTCTCCATTCTTGTTACATATATATGCACTGTTTTCACCTGTACTAAAAGTGTTCTCTGTTTGCACAAACCTGTCTTGTTCCATTGACCAGATAAAGAGACCCCATTTTTTTGCACAGTGGGGCAGGTGTATCTTAATGCATTTTACACACTGCTAAAGAGCTCTGCAAATAAAAACCCTCTAAGACTGACACCCCTAGAAAATAACGGCAAAAAATACAATGCAAACATTTACCCAACTCCAATGCACACACCATAAAAATACCCAGCATTCCCTTCTTTATGGATGTAGAGTTTCTAAATATTAATCTTTTATCAATTTATCAATGAATAAACTCTCCTCATTCTTGGTAATTTGTCTTTGCAGGATTGTGATTTCAAAGGTTGTGTGCTGACAAATTGGAGCCTTCTGTCAACAAAGCTGTCACTATAAAACAGTATTGATCGGGGATAAAATGGTGTTGCATGGGTTAACAAGTTTCACATTCAGGTACAAGGAGATCTCGAGTACCGACAAATCTTTGTCAACAAACCCACAAAATTAAAATCATCACAACTGCATTCAAACTCGGGGGTTTCGAATTCAAATTTTGTATACCGATTCAACATATAAGAAAATTACGTTTCCTCAAATATTTCATTCTGGAAATCCAATTTTGGATGTACTGTTCAAATATTGAAATTTTTATCAGAACAATTGAGTGAAAATTACATTTTAGCGATGAGATATAATTAATTCTTCATATTGCACAAGAAATTAAGCACATTAATATTTAGTTAATAAAAGAACCTATAATCCGTGTGATATTGACTGTGTCATCCGGTACAAGGGAATTCCAGGCTTTCGGAGTCTGAAGCTATGAGCATTGTATTTTGTAGAGAGAGTGTTGACAATCAATTTTTTTCTTCTTTTCAATATAAAAGTTGTAGCCTTACAAACTCTTGGACAACAAATTGCAGCGTATTACAGTTAATAACTGATTCATCCTTTTAATGATTCAGAAAAACCAGTCAACATTATGATGAGGAAGCCAGTAAACGAATAAAGAAACCAGGATTTACAAAACTGCGTCTTCTAGTACAAGCTCAGAATATCTGAGATCTATGCAAATGTGCCAGGACTGCCTTGTCGAAGTGATGACCAATGTTGCCATTGGCAAACAAGCATGTTTACACACTATGCTTGGTTTAGCCAAATCTTAGAGTGGTGTAGAGAGGATGGATCATGGATGTCAGTGAAAAACACTTGACCTTGAGAAAAAGATGGAAACCTGAGAAAAACCCCTGTTAGCTAGGCCTTATCTCTATTACATGTTACATCAAGTGTAGGCAATATGTTGACCAACAAGAGATTGATATGACCTTTAACTGTACTACAAAACTTTTTAGAATCACTCCAACTCTTTTCCTTTTTGTTTATCACTGTGTCTGTAACTTCTATCATGAATGGTTCTTGCACTTTGAGCATGTTGAGATGAATTCCTTACAAACTCCTAACCAGTATTTACTATCATTGCCAATATTTCTAAGCTCTGTAACAATCAATATGGATGCTTAATGCCATGCTATGAAAAATCACCTCTCAAAATGATACAAATAATTGGACAGAACCCATCAGTTGAGTTTGTCAAGACTAATAATTTTTACTTTTCAAAATAATAAACATTTAATGTAGAAATCTTGTTTTTTTTTGGAAAAATAAAATTGATTGATACAACTCCCAGGAAAGGCAGGGAAGCTGCATGTTATAAGAATATTCACCCTGCTCGGTACATACCAAAGAGAGTTCATTGCGAGAACAAGATGGTAATTGAGGCTGCAAATTAAGATACCTAGAGCTGAACCCCAGGTGAGACCGGCTTTGAAGTTTGAAAAAATGATCACCTGCTTGATCACAAGCTTATTATCCAGTTTGTCTCTCGAATTTGTCTGTTAGTGGACTGGAGGAAAAAAAATTGACTTATGTAAACTTGTCACACATTGATTGTTTCTTTTTTATATAAGGACCAATGAAATCTCTTATCTTGTTGGGCCCTCTCATTAAAATCTAACAGTTTTATTGATTTTTGTGGGTTTTGGGAAAACATTTTTATTGCACAATTTCCTTGGATGCATAAAAATGCATGTCTTATGAAGTGAAAATATCATAATAACTTGTATCTGATCTTATCTTATGTGACATTAAACATGCAAACATGTCCCTGTTTTTTGGCATGTAGTTTTTCCAGGCAATTACATCAGACTGGGTCTTTAAGACTTCAATGAAATAACTTTATGAAATAACATCATAATGACCAATTATAATTTGAATGAATATGTCAAAAACATTTTTTGTCAGAGGCCTGAAAATCTTAATAAAATTCCCCTTCAGATGTCATCCTCAAAAGATTACAGCGCGATAAAACACCTGTAAAAATTACGCAACAATCTGCAGAAAACATCTACCCTCTGCTCGCATTCTGTGACTAAACCTCCGAACTTACTGCTTATTTTTTTCTTCATTTAAACCCAACAGACCTGAATCTAGCAGCAGACAATTAATCAAAATTTCTGCACAGACAAACTTGCATGTCAAACCTATGACCCCCTGAGGATCTAGGTCATATGAGGTCCCCAGGGTTGAGACACAATCCCTCCCCTTCCCCATTCTTTACCCCATATCAGTCAGAATGTTTCTCAAAAAAAAATCATGAACTGATTTTTATCTCTGATATATTAAATGCCTTAATGATAATTAACAAGTCTGGAAATAGATATCCTTGAATTACCTAGACTTTTGCCCCACCTAAAATATATTTTTCTAGTCTAATAGCTGAGTGTGAAAAAATACCCAAGGTATACAATTGCATGACCCCTTCACTCAAACACAGTCTAGGGAAAAAACTACTGTATTATTTTACTAAAATTGCACAACAGATACATGTACTGATAAGAGTTTTTAAGGGTATCTTAGCAATATGTACCAGGTACATCTTTTCAATGATGAAGCAATGGCTACTGCAGACCATATAAACTCCAATGACATTTCTGGACTGAAATATAACTGAGAAATCAAACTCTTCTGGTTTTTATTTTACATACCTAAAATGGACCGTCATAAAAGGCCCTGTGGAGACCAGCAGATTTGGTGGAGGCTGGATACCACATAATCCAAAATTTCCTCCTGCTTCTAACTATAAGTAAAAAAGATCAAGTTTTCATATCAAATAAAGTAAAGTTTTCATAAATGCAAATTATAAAATCTTTAACAAAGTGATAGATGCTGACTGTAACATTTAATTTGCACCAATACATTGTTTTTTCTTAGTCCCAATGAGTTCCAGATAATGAGGTTTAACTGTATTTACAAAACTGAATTTACAAGGTAAGTTTTCTACCTGTCTCACAAGTTCCTGACATTTTTAAACTTCATACTCACCATTGCTCCTGTAAAGATGTCTTCAGAATCATACATGTACAAGGCATCATTACATATTCCAGTATTTTGGTCTATATCAGGAATATCTAGTTCTAGAAAACGTAACATAATTCTCCAGCCTTCATTATCGGCTTTAAAAGTCATTTTACACTCATTATTGTTCATGTAATATTCCGAGTTTTCCTCTCGATGGGATAACACAGTGGCACCTCCTATATATTTCTTATTTCCGCAGTCTATTCCATGCATATAATCTGTAAAATAAGAGGAAATAATTTTATAAATGTCTTTAAGAATGTAAATTAACAAAAAGGTACCCACACATAAAAATGAAAAAATTATCTCCAACTTCACAAAACGTTCTTCAATTCATCAGTTATATCAATGTTTCAAATTTTAATGAAAAATACATCTTAGTCTAAAATATGATTTTTCCAATACACATATCACCTGCCATTACACTCAAAAATACAATTATATGACAACACTTTTATATTTCTTGTGTTTATTTGAAATCCAATTCTTTGAATGTATATTAAATAAAGATTTTTATCGATGACAAAACTTATGAGTTGCATGCATTTTTTTAAATCCACAATAAAAATGCTTCTTTCCTTACCCTATTAATGATAAAATGCAGTAGAAAGAAATCAAAAATGAAGTTGATTTTCAGTCAATTGCAATTATACCCTATGCCTAACATTCTAATATCTCTAATTTCTTTGATTTTTTTAATATTAAAAATGGAATATCATCATTTAAAATTTCTGTCAACAAAATATAAAATACAGTGTAACAACTTCAGAACAACTGAAGCAGAAACATCATGTCCATATAGTAATGGGTAAATACTGGTTTAATCGAGAGTCAAATCTCGCAGTCTGTCGAACATAAGAGCCTTTAGAGGTGTGACATCACAAGTTTTTTCAGAGTTCACTATGGTGATAATAATTCAGCTTTCCTCAGAACATGCCTAACATAACACCTAGACAAATGAGGTGCTACTTTAATAGGTGATAATGGCCCCTCAATAACCCTCCATCATTTCCCCCCATAAGACAGATTTTGACACTCCCAGTAGGCTGTTTGCAGTGCAGATGTGGGCTATGTAACCTTTGTTCCTGATTTTTGATTGCAGTTTAAAGACTTTACGTATTATCACCTTGTCTGATCTGCTTTGACACCTATTTTATGTGAAATAATGGCACAGACTGTCTCTGTGTCAAGTTAGATATCAACAATGTCAAAAATATACCCCAAATAGTGTAATGGCTTTTGTTTAAATGTACCCCTGCCAAGCCATGAAGAAACATGTAATGAATGGCATTTCTCATTTAGGTTGACAAAGTTTGGTATTAATAATGGGCAGCCATCTTCTTGTCACATACATTGCTTCATTGACTAACAAACTTGACAAAAAATTGAAAAATTTTCTCGTACTCTTTTCAAATTTATAACCTGAAACATGTGATTTGACATTTTAACTAACAACACATAATCAGAAGTGTTCAAAAAAAGATTCTAGATAATGAAGACATGTCCGTTTATTTTCTTTTGACCTTGAGTACTTAAAGTACATGTCAGTTTTATAATATATTGCCCCTTTCCTGATGAATTGTGCTCATGAGCCAAAAAATAGGCCAAATTTTTACTATACTTCTTTTCTGCTCCCTCAAATACTCTAAAAAACCTGCAATTCAGCAAAGCTGATATATGTGTATGAAATAAATTGTGCGAAGATAATCTGCAACATTATGTAAGATAAATCACAATTAAGTAACATTTTAAACCTGTGTGGTAGACTTCAACAATCAGCCATTAATCAGACATGCTGAAGTTTCCTGGCATAATAAAGATTTCCTAAGAGCGTGAAAATCCATGCAGGTTGTGTCAGCTGCCAATCAAAACCTTATTTTAAACAAGAGGCCCAGGGGCCACAGTGCTCACCTGAGCACATCGGACTTGAATTTATCCCCCCCCCCCCTCCAGGCGTTCATCATTTGAACAAATTAGAATCTACACTACCTGAGGATGATTCCATATAAATATCACTAATCATAGTTTTGAAGTACTTGAAAAGAAGATTTTAAAAGGTTTCCCTATATATCCCTATGTAAAACTTGGGTCGGCCATTTTGGCCCCACCCTAGCCCCGGGGGTCATGATTTGAACAAATTTGAATCTACACTAAGGATGATTCCACATGAGTTTCATCTTTCCAGGTGCAGTGGTTCTGGAGAAGAAGATTTTTAAAGATTTTTCCTATATATTCCTATGTAAAACTTTCGGCCATTTTGGCCCCACCCTTGCCCCGGGGGTCAAGAACAAACTTAACACTACCTGAGGATGATTCCATGTGAGTTTCATCTTTCCTGGCCCAGTGGTTCTGGAGAAGAAGATTTTTAAAGATTTTTCTTATATATTCCTATGTAAAACTAGGGTCGGCCATTTTGGCCCCACCCTTGCCCCAGGGGTCATGATTTGAATAAACTTGAATCTACACTACCTGAGGATGATTCCACATTAGTTTCATCTTTCCTGGCCCAGTGGTTCTGAAGAAGAAGATTTTTAAAGATTTTTCCTATATATTCCTATGTAAAACTTGGGTCGGCCATTTTGGCCCCACCCTTGCCCCGGGGGTCATGATTTGAACAAACTTGAATCTACACTACCTGAGGATGATTCCACATGAGTTTCATCTTTCCTGGCCCAGTGGTTCTGGAGAAGAAGATTTTTAAAGATTTTTCCTATATATTCCTATGTAAAAATCGGGGGTCATGATTTGAACAAACTTGAATCTACACTACCTGAGGATGCTTCCACATGAATTTTTCCTGGCCCAGCGGTTCTGGAGAAAAATTTTTTAAAAATTGTGGAAAAGGGCGTGGCCCTTCATTTCTCCCCTTCACCCAAGGATACTCTGTACCAAGTTTGGTTGAAATTGGCCCAGTGGTTCTTGAGGAGAAGATGAAAATGTGAAAAGTTTACGCCGACGACGACAACGACGACGACGACGACGACAGACAACGGACAAATTTTGATCAGAAAACCTCACTTGAGCCTTCGGCTCAGGTGAGCTAAAAAAAGACAAAAAAAAAAAATCGTAGATCTCTAATCGACAGCTGTCGAAATAATGACCCCCTTTCTGCCTCTGCCCCAGTCAATACCATACCACTTCTATGGTCCTTTATTTTGGAGCACAATTTCAAATAACTACAGAATTTCTATTACTTGAAAGCCAAAGTCACGATATTTCTAGCATTTCATAAAAAGAAACAATTACGAAAAATGCTTCGAAAACCCCTCCTGGTGCCCCAATTAATATTTGTATGTCTCGGTGGGGTTCCTCTGTGTCTCCTCCGAATTCAATAGGAAAAGCCCTATTATTTATAGCAGAAATCGGAGTCGCCAGTGGCAGATCCTATCAAAAATTCATGCCGGACCTCTTCGACCCTTTTACATAACCAAGGCCACTATTAATGGCGCTTTGTTAAAATTCTTGTAAAGTCTCATTTAAAATACATGACCTCAAGTTTTCAGACTTGACAGAAATTTCTACAGCAAAATTCGTCACACAGGAAAAAAATCTATATTTTCCCAAAATCTGACAGGTCCTATCTAAAGACTGTCAAATTTCTGAATGGCATCCTTAACCGTTCAAAAAAAGTGACCTGAATACAATGCACAATTAGTTGGAACATTTTCTACGATTATTCATTTCATCTGTGAACAAAGTAACACAGTTGTTAAAGGCCTTTAGAACAATATTTTGCTTTAATACATGCCAATCGAAAAAATATACAACAGAAAGGTTTGACCTTAGGTAACCTGCATTTAAATCATACAGTGAAGGCTAGTTGAGCCAAAGTATGAACTTAACCATAGGCGTAGTGAACATCATCCGTATGTCTGTGCCCCCCCACTTTTTAATGAAGAACAAAAACACAGCTATTTTGAAGTAATATTAATACATAGTAATAAAATTGTGTAGAAAAATTGAAATTGAAAGTAACTTGCCTTTGAAAAAAAGTTGGCCACAACCCCCCCCCCCCCCCCCCCCCCCCCCCCCCCCCCCCACGAAATAGGATTTTTGATGGGGAACATACTTTTTTTTTTTTTTTTTTTTTTTTTTTTTTTTTTTGCTTGTTAAAGAATTTCTGGAAGCCCCCCACTTTTAAGCTTTTTTTTTTTTTGCTTGTTAAAGAATTTCTGGACTTGAGCCCCCCACTTTTAAGCTTTTTTTTTTTTTTTTTTTTTTGCTTGTTAAAGAATTTCTGGAAGCCCCCCCACTTTTAAGTTTGTGACTACGCCTCTGACTTAACGAACATCATCCTTTATTTTATGACATAATCTTTCATGGTGCCAAAGCAATATTTAAACAATTTAAACAATTTGGGGTAAAGTTGACACTAAGCTTGCCAGTCTTAAATGCCTAATCTTTGACATATGTTTTGGCTGGCACTAGCTAGCAGTATTAATAAATAAGTACATACATAATATCTGCAGTCGGGGTGTTTGAATGTGTGTAGGTATACCTTTCTGAATGGAGTGATGAATGTTACTATTTATAACACTGTACAGATTAATGGGATGTGCTACTACACTGCAGATATCACCAAACACCACAATAATTATGTAGGATACTGAGATATGTGCAGAAAGATAGATGGACAGAGAGAAATATAATTATGTAGGATAAATATATCTGTAATGATAAAGAGATATGTGCAGGATAGAGATTTGTATTTTGAACGAGAAAGATCTCTGTAGGATAGAAAGACATCTAGGTGATCAAGAGATATCTGTAAGTCAAGATATCTCTAGGATAGAGCCATCTTTAGGATAGGAAGATATCTGTATAAAAGAAGAAACATAGAATGGGCAGATATATAATTTGTTTTATGACAATTTCTTTTACATTATTTTTGCAGCACAAGAATCATTCTATCCAAGAAATACATGTACTGAGGTAATTAATTCTAAAACAGGACCAGGGAAAGGCAATTATTCTACAAGGCAACAGAGAGTGAAAGTTCCATAGAAACAGGAGAAATCAAGTCCAGCACATCTTCAGTTTTATTGAATTAAACTGCATAAAAAAAACACCAATTTAAAAGGCTTTCAGAAGTTTCTTGAAATATTTAGTAACTGTAATTACACAAATTTCAGGACATAAAACTTTGATGTTCTTGAATTAAAAAGCTTTATGAAAGATGGACAAAAAATACCCAACTGCAAGTAGATAATTACAATGTAAGAAAAGATTTTTTTTAAAGTTAGACACTTGTGTCAGAATTTGCAGGCGCACCTCTCCCAATGATAAGCAATGAGAAAACACACACCTAACCAGCTACCCATCTGTATTTGCTCTCCTATCTTCAAGGGAGGAAAAAAAAATCAAAGCAAGATTCCTCCCTCAATTCTTTGAGAGCCAGCACTCACATATGAGCAAAAAGGAAACAATTACATGAGTATCTTTCTGCATGTCAAAAAGGTTGTGTCCTTCAACATGTCAAAGTCTATCTTAACCCTATGATGCTATTAGAGGTCCACATTTGCTCTGCTCAAAATCTGTTTGTTTCAATGAGCTTGATTGCTGTTTGTTATCTCCATATTTCATGAAGGCATACACTGGACACTAACTGGACACATGGTACAAGGAGACCCAAAAATCAATGGTATCCCCTTCATTAAAGGCTGTCCCCAAACTAAGGCCATATTGGTGGACATTAGGTAAAGATCGACCAAGAACTGTTTGTTCAGTTTATCAGCAGATTTGCCATTATCTCATCATTGTTATGAATGTCTTGACAAGGGACAAACAATTACATTACAGTTTTATGATGAGCCAGAGTTCAACAAGTCATAAATGGGCCATTCGAATTAATATGTAAACTGGCCCTTGGTCAACTTGCTGATAACGGAGAGCTTCTGTTGATTACACTATAATCATATTTCCTGCAGTCCAATTTGTCGAAACAAATATTGATTTAATACATCAAAATTTTTGGTCTTGGTTTTTAAAGAAAACAAAATTATTTTAATAATTAAATTTGTCTGATCTACCACTAATTATCGAACATGATTTATTTTTTCAAAGAGGAAAAAATGAAAAGAACAAGATTTATTTTTACAGAGCTGACATAACATGTCATTCAAATAAATTTGTATTAAGAATGTAGAAATAATTAATTTCAATATCTGCCAGCATTTATATATATTGATAAATAAGTACAGGTTCTTAACCAGTTTTTTTTAGGTTTAGCTCAAGAGTCCCAATAGCTTAGAGACATTTTCTTTTCAAAACATTACATCAACCTACATAATTGAGCAGGAAATTTAATGTAGGCTCTGTCAATCTGTTTACATTAATCTTTTTCATCTGTCACAAGCCCACTAGTAACTGACACAATGTACATCTACATTTTCAAAAATATTTTTTCAAACACTTCACTCCTCAGGGGGAATATGATGAGAGAAGAATGACCCAGGTATCAAGATTTTCCAGATGTCAGCTAGAATACCAAGAAGTTATATTTTGAGGGCATGGTACAAGTACACGCCAGAACAAAACAAACATGAAAAAGAGCTGAATATAAATATATCAGACGAAAAGATAGACATTCAAGCCAGTTTTTCAAAGTTTTTTTAATGACACTTAATGCAGTCAATTCTTTTACTATTTCTAAAGATTTCTACTTATATTTTAATTCATCATGCTGCACATAAATTTTTCTCAATTAATCTCAAAAAATATTTAAACATCAAAATAATAATTAAAATTTACTTGTACAGCAAATCTACCTGAAATGTCAAAAAACATTAGGAGCCAGATGATCAAAACCCAGTATATGAAATATCGGGGAGCTATAATCAGCTCCATGCTACTGAGAAGGGACTTAATCAACTGTTAATTATGACCTTAAATAAACAAACAGGGAGATAAAGGCTAATCAGGGAGATTTTGGCGGCTCCTAAATATCACTTGTGGCCAACGGGAAGGCAAGCTAATCTCCAAATTTTACGTAATGTTTGTCAGAAAGACGTACTCCCTGTGAACTCAGAGTTCTAGTCTCTAAACTCGTAAGAATGCTGAAATGCATGGATCACCGATCAGGATAAGTTTTTGTGAATCCTTTAGATATTAAACTAATGTAATGATCATGATGAAGTACTAATTATCTCACTATAAATTGAAAATGTACACATAATACAATACAAGTTTTTATGTACATGTATATGTTTTGAAGATCGATTGTTAAATTCTTCTGTCAGATGAGAAACCTCTGTCAACAGTTGCTAAAATTCTAATCTTATATGGCTTATCATCTTAAATATTGTAAAGTATATTGAGTATGTAATTAAATTCTTCTCCCATAAATCCTCAACATGTTTTAGATCATCACAATAAATAATTTAGTAAACCAACAGCCTGAGTGTTGAAATCTGAAATTACAAAATATTGCATCGCAGACCACCCTTACTTAATCACCTCTTTTATAACACATAAAAATCACCCAAACCCCCTCATTTGCTAACCCATTGTAACATTCTCGTTATTTAATATGGCCTCCTTTGTGATCTACAAGCCTTACGAACTATGCTCTACCTCTCCGAATTCAATTGCCCCTGCCGAAAAATCGGAGGTTGTTTTCTAATCACTTCTCAATCCCGCTTCTCCATAGAAAACAAAAAAAGAAAAGAGAAATACAGATTTAGATGTTTATCAAAAAACATGTATTTCAAATAAACTCTTATTCAGCGTACTTATTATTACATGTACATTAAACTACGCTACAGAAAACATGTACAATTAAAACAGATTTATTTCTCCCTTTGTAAACAAGGAATTTTTTTGTTATTTCAAAAAGATGATAATCACAGATTCAAATTTCAGAATTTTATTTGTGTACAATCCATTATCAAGCATGTCAAAAATGACACATAATAGAATTGTATTCTAATGGACAATGAAGTTCGCAAGCTCGGTTTAATACCACTTGGAGAGATAAGAAAAGCCCTTTAATTTGTTTTTGAGAGTTTTGATTATGACAAGGTATTTTCTTTTAAAATAATTATGTGACTTGGAGCTTTGATTTCCTCTTTATAGCTTCAAGAAGTTAAATCCCAACCAGTTACAAATTATTAAATAATAATGCCATTAAACATATGTTAAAGGGCTGGAAAACCCACAAGAAAATTCTCTGCACCTTATTGACATATATATTTCTCATTGTCTATGATACATAAGATGCAGGCACTGGCACTAATAAAACTAGGGTCATCGTCAAATTATCATGTATAATATGAGTTCTACTGGCCTTACAATATCAGACAACATATATCATTTATTTTCATTATAAACAAATCTACTAACAATATTATACTCCCATGACATCAATATGAAATGGAACGCTAATCCATTTATGCACAGACAAACTGGCATCTAAACTATTCTAGATACGATATTGTATGCTCTGTTATAATAATTTCTATGTAGATGTAACCTATTATAAGCATACATGGTCTAATTAGAATGCAAAATGAGGTCAATATTTGACACATGTTTCATATGAAGCTGAACTTTGAGAATTACAGGCTAATACAGGGCATACATTTCTTAATATAAATATAGCATGTGTTTCTAGTTGCTTTTGGAGAAATGACTAATCCTATATAGAGAAGCAATAGCACATGAACAGCTTTTCAAAGTCTAAGGTATGAAGAAATTCATCTTCTATTTTCTTTGGACTTAGGAATTTTTGTATCCAATCCATAAAATAATGTAAAGAGCTTTCATTTGTCATTTTGCTTTTCTTGGCTTGAATTTGTAATTTTTTCAAAATACCCTTAATTAGTTTTTAACTGTTTTAGAGTCCATTTAATACATTATGATTCATAATTTAAATATTTAAAAACAATATTAATTAATGAAAATGATTTTGGTCCACATTTTTGGCACCAAAAAATGAAATAGCCTAATCAGTGATATTGTAACTTTATGATTTATTCTTTTATTTAAAGTTCATTTTTTAATTATTATTTCTCCCCCAAACACTTTCATGACTTTGATACCTGCTCTTGAAAAATCGAGAGGCAAAAAATCAGCACACAGTAATCTTTATCTTAAAAGTGTTGGAATTATCATATTGATATCTTAAATAACAATCTGGGATCCCCGTGTTACACTAAGTTGACTAAGGAAAAACAAATAAGACACATGATGGACGTGAAACTTTTTAAGTTTCAAAGTAATTTTTCAATGCAAATATTTAAATGTGGCACTTTAAAAATGTCCAGATGAGAAAAATATCGACTTTTGTTCTTAAAGATAGGGAGACCCTTGAATGACACCGAGTTCTCTGGAATTCTGGATCGATCGATCGTTACAAATTTTTTTTTCAAAACTAGCACGTTTTTGGAAGCAGAGCATTTCGGTGAAAAAACAATCAATTTATCTAAGTCATTTGAGCTTGTTTGCAAAAATTAAAAGAAGACAATTATAGGCTTAAAATGTACTTACATGTTTGTGTCTTTTTCGTCTGAGATTCACTTAATAATAGAGTAAACATCCATAAGAAGCACCAGGACTGAGAAACCCAGTCTGGCCCTAACGCCATGTTGAGTTACTACTGAAACAAATAACTTCCGGGAAGCGCCATCTGTAAACAACACCACGTGGGCAGGTGAGACCTGTCATCGGTAAATATATACATTTGTGGTATCTCTCCATTATATAAACATTACAGAGAGAAAATATCTTCAATTCTGTATGAAGTTTGTCAGAGGCAAAATATTGACCTAATCACACGGCGCAATAATATCTACCGATACATAAATTATAAAATGACCAGCTCTACTTGCTTTTCATGTACAAAAATGAATAAAAGAAGCAATTATAATGATAATTATTTTATTTTAAATGTAAACAAGTATTTCATACAGTTTTGCTATTTGTACATAGAGAAAACTAGGAGCCTAGCGTTTGTTTACATTTTTCTTCACTTTTGTCAGCTGCACAGTCTCTAACGTTCATTCTTATTTTTTGGAAAGACCTTTGGTTAAATTTTCATGATAAACTTTTATTTTATCTTTAAATTTTACTCACGATAAATGTGCAAATCTGTTGGAAAATATCTTTGCAATCATGCCATGAACAGCTGCCAAACACCTCGGCGTTTTCGTAGTTCAATGTAAAGCTGTCGCCATTGTCTCCGTGTTTATCAGTGTTTTACTATAAGTATGCCTTTAGATACTGAAACCGTGGAATGTTTTTGATCAAACAGCAAATTAACTGGCTCGGACAAGTGTCTCAATCCATCGGATCCATCCATGTTGAGTCTTTTATCGATTATCATTTTTGAAGACACAATAACTGATCACAAGTAGTCTTTCACAAAATATTCCCTTCGAAATAGATTCCTTAGCCTAATGAATTCGAAGCGTAACCGCCATGATTTACACCTTGCGTCATTTTTCAAAATCTACCACGGTTAGTGCAATAATTCAAATTTGAAAGTATTCAATCGTCTGTCTCAAATGTATATATAAGTAATAAATAACAAGTTTATAAACTTCAATGGGAATTGAAGTGGTCGGTACGTGATCAAATCTTCTGAGAAGGCCTTCGGCCTTCACAGGATTTGATCACGTGACCGACCCACTTCAATTCCCATTGAAGTTTATAAACTTGTTATTTATTTCTTAATTAGAATGTTCAAAAAGGTGGTAAAATTCACCTACCGTGAAAATCATAGTTATGACAGGTGTCTTAGAGTTTAACGTCGAACTCTAAAAAATTAATGTCTTGACCACGCATTTGAGATGAGATAAATTTCTTGGTAACTTTGGTATATAAAATTAACCGTAATTAATATAATTCAAGACATTAATTATATATGTCTGTGTCATTACAGTAAGTTTATGAAAAAAAAATTCCATGGACTTTTGAAGAATGAATGACGCTTAATTTTATTACCGATGATGATATCTAAAAAGAAATTAAAAATATACATGTTTTGAGGTTATGTGTATATTTTAAATGCAACAGGAAAATATATTTCAAAAACATATCTGAAAAAAGTCCAAATATATACACAGTTGTGTTTTTCAAAGTTTTATCCCTCGTTTTGGGGATGGGTGGGTGCCGGTTTGTTAAACCTATTTGCATAGCTGTTAATAATATTTTTATGATATAAAAACAATCGAGACTTCTTTGATCATGCAGATCTGCGCTGTATCTACAATACCTCTGCTTCAAAAATTCATTTATTTTGGATGCCGGGCATGATCTTTAGTTTAAATATTCTATTACGTAGTAATCTCGAGAATATCTTTTGAAATGGTCCTTGGTGGGAAACCTTATATACAAGTTCACAAATTGTAAACAATTTGCTCTATAGTAAAAAAATTCTAAGCTTTTTAATAACAATTTGTTCCAAGGAAGAAAGAAAAAATAAGAAAGTTAAATACTATTATTCAAAGTACGAAGACCAAGGCGCATTTAATGAAATTCAATCAAACAAGCATAACAGAGTTACATCCCTTCGGTCTCTTAATGTAGTATTGGGCTGAAAAGGGGGTGTCAAACGTGCAGTTGCCAGATTAAAATTTTCTATCAAATAAATTTGTCAAAAGCTGAAAATCTATTTAGAGATTTCTTTACATACACAACTGGTGGATGTATCGTCCAAAAGCACCTGTTGCCATTTTAGTGTACACACGTACGTGTTAATATACAAATTTGCTGCATGAATTTCTAATATCACTGATAAGTTTCCTGACAAGTTTTCTTTAAAAATATTTTTAGTAAAAGCCCAACTGCTCTGCAGAATATACGTCTACGAAGTTGCATGTATTAATAGTGCTTTATGCACTTAGAATACATGTACCAGGTATGCTGAAAAAAAGGTGATGTTTTACGCCGCCTACCCAAAATATAGTCCAGACATACAAACAGCTAGACAAAGTGTAACCATATTCCGACTGAGCAAAACATTATGATTATGAGGCAAGAGTGATAACTCGAATTCATTGAAAAAGGAAAACTTAAGATATTGTGCGCTGAGCTCAGTATTGATAACCCCCCACCCCACCCCCCGCCTCCCATATGATATACATGTACTCAGTAATGGCAAAGCCCATCTTTTGTTCTGGTAAAGACCCAAAAGAAGTGTCAGATCAACACGCACTTTTCCATTATAATCATAATATGGGAGGTGGGGGTATCATTTAGAGAGCTCATTGCTCACAGTACCTCTCTACGAGTATATGTTATAGGTTTACGAGAATTCAAAAACTATAGTTATGTGTATGTAGTTAAGGGTATTTCCCTTGTTTCTTAAAAATCATTTTTTTTATTGCATTAGTCCAGAGATAGATAGAGAGAGAGAGAGAGAGTATTATAGTCGCATAGCATTAATTGGGGTGTGTGGCTGTGTGCAGAGAAAAGAGTCTGAAAAGCTTTACATTTATGCCAAAATTAGTGTCAGTTACGCATTTAATTAGCGTTACGCGAAAGTAACACTTTATTCGCGGAAATTTTGCGTCGCACGAAAGTTACATATTTCTTCACGAAAATCTTGCTATGCACTGAACGCACATTTATTTGCGAAAATTTCGCGTTCATTCGCGAATTATAACGCAAATGTTTCTTGTTTATATTCGCGGAATTTCCGCGTAATAAGGCGAAATATATGTTTTTTTAATCAACAAAAATGAGCTAAATGGGCTTTCGTAAGCACACTGCTCAACGCGTTATCGGCTACTCGGTTGTTATTGGACACTCGGTGCAAGAAAAGCAATGTTTAGAAAATGTGGGTAATTTAAATTTCATATTTCAAAGATAAATTCGTATTTCAGCAAACAAAGTTTGTGATCTATGACAGATAATAGATTATACTTTCAGCAGCAGAAAGCACAAACCAAATCACTCTCTTTCAAAAGATCTACAGCTCTTTCAAATGATATTTTACAAAACTTTCGGACTATGTCGTCACATTTTAACTTCTGTAGAATTCAAAATTAGTTTATTCTATCAAACAAACTAATCTATTTATTTTATGGACAATCAGATACCTTTAGATCAGCAAACTGAGATTAAAAATCCAAATTAAGAGTGAGTAAACAGTCTTTTAAAATGTCTCGTTAGTTGAAAACATGTTATCGTTAACACGGTTGATGTTGCCGGATACTTCGGTTTTTGACAGGTGTACGTTATCGGAAACTCAGGTTAAAAAGTGTCCTTTAGCTTCATAAATAGATTGGAAAAAAACCCATTATAATCTGCCAATCCTTGAAAAATAGCAAATGTAAAAGTTTGTTTTGATATAAATGTATATAAATAAGATTAATAATTATAAATTTATTATAGAACTACTCATCTGTTCAACCATTTTTCTTGTTTTCCATTCAAGATAACCTCTTGGAGATCGCTTCAGGCAGTTTCAAACGTAAATATATCATGTTTAATTAATCATAACAATTTTGCTTTAGTCTCCCGATATAGCTTACATGTATTACGTTATTTTTGGAAAAAAAAATAAGTTCAATTTCCCCCATGATCCCCGGGGAACTATTTTTTTTTGTCCAGTAATGTCAATCGTATTATCACGTCACAGTTACACATATATAGCAGGTTCACCGAGACAGCTCTCAACATTAAAGAAAAATAATAATTCTAAATTCTTTTTTTATACAATGTAATTTGGATATGTAGTAGATTAAAGAGACTATCCTTTCACAAAAAGCATGGTCCAGAAAAAAATACTTAAAAAAAAATGAATATATAAAGTTAAGGGAGCCGACTGGATTTTTATTGTTTTATTGTTTTAGAAACGCTTTGATTAAAAAAAATATACTAGTACATAACTTATTTTCCAACCGTTAAAAATAGGAGGAGGGGTGCTGGTTGTTTCACCTCAGTTCCTCGTATGTTTAACTTTTTCTACAAACAGTTATTTGCGTTTTCAATTACAAGGGATTCAAAGAAAATTTTTTGCTTCAGTATAAACACCCAATAGCAAATTGGTTACAATTATAATCATTAGCGCTATCTACATATTGAATTTGAGCACACTGCGGGATGTGACCGTTCATCAGGGGCTCTTACTCCTTCTTGGTTCGTTAAACAACCTCCGATGTTTTAGAGATCTGTATTTAAGATTTTGTAATTTTTTTTAAAGTCAACATTTTGAATTTTATGTCATATATTTTGGTCTAACTACCTATTTGGAAATTCATCTAACCACCCTTGAGTTTAAATTATTTTGCATGTATATACCAAACAGATAAATGTATTCGCGTTCGAAAGGTTATGAGTTTGAAACTCAGCGGCGACTGACCTAAGTCGATAAAAATGGCTAGCAACTGTTCTTTCGCCATGCGTTCAGCAACTTGATTGTGTGTTATTTAACGCCCTCCTGAGATTTTTCCAGTCATATGGAGACGCCATCACATGCCGGCGGAGAGGTTCAAAATTTGTCATATACTCAGCACCTAGGGCCATTGAGCAGTGAGGGATCTTTTTGTGCTAGCACTTACTGCGACGTCCCACTGTGGGATACGAACCCGCGACTTAAGGATCGACTCCTTACTTGGTGTTCAAAAGACACTCTAGTTCACTGCGCCACTAGGC